CTTTGTCGCACGACACTCTCCTGTGGCACCACTGCCTTGGTCACCCCTCCTTGCCTCGCCTGCGTAGCATGCACTCTCGCTCCCTGGTCTCTGGTCTTCCCAGGTCCCTGCCTGCCCTCCCTCCCTCGCCTGCGCCGCCCTGCATTCCTTGCGTCGAGGGGCGGCAGCGCGCCGCTCCTCACTCCTCCTCGTTTCCTCCCACAGAGGCTCCACTGCAGACGCTCCACCTGGACGTGTGGGGCCCAGCCCGCGTCCAGGGACAGGGCCGCGAGCGGTACTTCCTGCTGGTCGTCGACGACTACACGCGTTACACCACGGTCTTCCCCTTGCAGAGCAAGGGGGACGTCCCTGCTGTTTTGATCCCCTGGATCCGCGCTGTTCGTCTCCAGCTCCGCGAGCGGTTCCGGTCGGACTTTCCTGTCCTGCGTCTGCACTCTGACAGAGGTGGTGAGTTCTCCTCCGACCTCTTGGCAGCCTACTGTGCGGAGCACGGCATCACCCAGTCGTTCACGCTTCCGGCCTCTCCGCAGCAGAATGGGGTTGCTGAGCGCCGCATTGGCTTAGTCATGGAGGTCGCTCGTACCTCCATGATCCATGCGACTGCCCCCCATTTTCTGTGGCCGTTTGCGGTCCGGTACGCCGCGCATCAGCTCAACCTCTGGCCCCGTGTCTCCTTGCCGGAGACCTCGCCCACACTGCTGTGGACGGGGAAGGTTGGCGATGCGTCGCGTTTCCGGGTCTGGGGTGCTCGTGCCTTTGTCCGCGATACCACCACGGACAAGCTCTCCGCCCGCGCTGTTCCCTGTGTCTTCCTTGGCTTTGTCCTTGACGCGCCTGGTTGGCAGTTTTACCACCCCACCTCGCGCCGTGTCTTTGCGTCTCAGGACGTCACGTTCGACGAGTCGGTTCCCTTTTACCGTCTCTTCCCCTACCGCACTGCCTCGCTCCCCCCCCCGCCGCTCTTCCTTGCTCCAGGTGCTCCCCAGGTAGACCCCCTCTCCGCTCCCGGTCCTGCTCCTTCAGGTGTTTCTCAGGTAGACCCTCCTCCCTTGACTGCGCCGGTTGAGGTCACTGGTGACTCAGGTCCTCCTGCGAGTGGTCCTGCTCGGGGTGCTGAGCCTGGGGGTGCGGAGCCTGGGGGTGCTGAGTCTGGGGGTACTGAGCCTGAGGGTGCGGAGCTTGAGGGTGTAGAGCCTGGTGGTGCTGAGCCTGCGTGTGAGGGGTCTGGGGGTGCTGAGCTTGGCGGTACTGACGCTGGAGGTTCTGGAGCTACTGAGGGTGCTGGCGCTGGAGGTTCAGGAGCTGCTGGAGGGCCTAGTCCTGGTGGCGCTGGAGCTGGAGGTCCTGGAGCTGTTGAGGGTGCTCGCGCTGGAGGTTCTGGAGTCGCTGGAGGTACTGGTGCTGAGGGTGCTGACACCGGAGGTTCTGGAGCCGTTGGGGGTGCGGGCGCTGAGGGTTCTGAGTCTGCTGTTGCGCGGTCTCCTTGGAGTGGCCGCCTTCGTCCCCGTGTGCCTCTCACCCCACAGCAGCTGCAGGACTGGTACGGTCGCCGTCAGCGTCGCGCTGCTGGAGCTCGGAGTCGTGCTGGTCCTTTGTCTACTGGAGGTGCTGGAGTTGCTGGTTCTGGAGGGGCTCGTGCTGGAGACACTGAGGCTGGAGACCCTGGGACTGGAGGTGCTGGCTCTGGGGGTGCTACTGCTGGAGACCCTGCGGTTGGAGACCCTGGGACTGGAGGTGCTGGTTCTGGGGGTGCTGCTGCTGGAGACACAGAGGTTGGAGACCCTGGGACTCGAGGTGTCGGCTCTGGGCCTGGAGCTTCTGGAGCTGCTGGAGGCACTGGAGCTGCTGGAGCTGCTGGTTCTGGTGCAGCTGCGCCGACACGACTGTTCTTCGCTCCGCCGTCTCCGTCGTCTCTGCCGTCGTCTGCCTCTGTTCTTCGTCAGGTTCTTACTCTTCCGTCGTCTACTGGTCTTCCGTTACAGACTGGCTCGCCGCTGCCTGCTCCTTCTCCTTACGCTGAGCTGACTGGTAGTCCTGCTGTGCGTCGTGAGCCTGCGTCGCGTCCTGTCTCGCCTGCTCGTCCTGGTCGTACCGGTCCTCGTGTTCCTCGTTCGCGTCCGCCGGCTGTCCCCAGCGCACACCTCGTAGTCCGTCGTCCTTCCTCTGTTCCGCAGCCTGTTCCTCTGCCGTCTCCTCCTGCGTCCTCTTTGCCTGACGTTCCGGACCCTGCGTCTGACCGGTTTCGTACTGAGCACCCTACTGTCACGCGTCTACTAGCCACAGTTGTCACTGACCCGTCGTTTGAGTCTGCTGCTGCGTCTGCTCTTGTCGCTGAGCTTGTTGACTTTGCTGCTGCCTGTCGTCTAGACTTCACTGCCAGTCTTGTTACTGAGTCTGAGTCTGTCTGTCCTCCGTCCGTCGGGGGTGAGTGTGCTCTTAGCACGGACGTCCTTGAGGACAGGCAGGAGGAGTTCCAGTGCCTTGCTGCTGCTTTACCTCATCTTGTGTCCTCGCTACTTGCCCCTGAGGGAGACCCGGATGCACCAGACATCCCGACTCCGCGCTCTTACGCAGAGGCGATAGAGGGTCCCTACTCCTCTCAGTGGCAGGCAGCCATGGACGCAGAGATGGCTTCCTGGAAGTCCACAGGCACCTACGTTGACGAGGTTCCCCCACCTGGGGCGAACATCGTCAGTGGCATGTGGATTTTCAGGGTGAAGCGGCCGCCGGGTTCTCCGCCTGTCTTCAAGGCGCGTTACGTGGCTCGAGGCTTCAGTCAGCGAGAGGGAGTTGACTTCTTCCAGACCTTCTCCCCCACCCCGAAGATGACCACTCTTCGGGTGCTGCTGCACGTTGCTGCTCACCGTGACTACGAGCTTCACTCTCTTGACTTCAGCACAGCTTTCCTGCAGGGCAGCCTGCACGAGGAGATCTGGCTGCGCCGCCCCCCGGGCTTCACTGGGTCGTTCCCTCCTGGTACCCAGTGGAGCCTCCGGCGGCCGGTCTACGGTCTCCGCCAGGCGCCACGTGAGTGGCACGACACACTGAGGACTACGCTTGCGGCTCTTGGGTTTGCGCCTTCTACTGCTGACCCGTCGCTGTTTCTGCGCACCGACACTTCCCTGCCGCCGTTCTACATCCTCGTGTATGTCGACGACTTGGTTTTTGCCACTGCTGACACTGAGGCTCTCACCCACGTGAAGTCGGAGCTGCAGAAGAGACACACGTGCACAGACTTGGGTGAGCTGCGCAGCTACCTTGGCTTGCAGATCACCCGAGACAGAGCACGTCGCACCATCACCTTGACTCAGTCACACATGGTGCAGCAGGTCCTTCAGCGCTTCGGCTTCACCTGGTCTTCAATACAGGCCACTCCTCTGGCTACAGGTCACACGCTCTCAGCTCCACCTTCGGACGAGTCCGTAGAGCCGAGTGGTCCTTACCCAGAGCTAGTCGGCTGCCTCATGTACCTGATGACTTGCACTCGACCTGACCTCGCTACGTGGCTCCTGGTCGGCACCGACCTGAGCACATGGCTGCTGCTAAGAGGGTACTGCGTTACTTGTGCAGCACATCAGGCATGGGGCTAGTGCTTGGAGGGACGAGCCCAGTTGTCCTCACTGGGCACTCAGACGCTTCTTGGGTTGACGACCTGGCTACTCAGCGGTCGTCACAGGGTTACACCTTCAGCCTTGGCTCTGGTTCAGTTTCGTGGCGTTCTACACGCTCGACTTCAGTTCTCGGCTCCAGTTGTGAGGCTGAGATCTACGCCACCGCCATGGCTGCACAGGAGTTACGCTGGCTCACCTACCTGCTGACTGACTTGGGAGAGCAGCCTCGTTCTCCTCCAGTGCTGTACGTTGACAACAAGGCCGCCATTGCCTTGTGTGAGGAGCACAGACTGGAGCACAGAACGAAGCACATTGCTCTGCGGTACTTCCTGGCTCGAGAGTTGCAGCAGCGAGGCCAGCTTCGTCTTCGCCACGTGGCCACTCGGGCCAACACTGCTGATATATTCACCAAGGCACTTCCGTCTGGTGATCATCAGCGCTTTTGTACTCTGTTAGGCCTTGTGCCTACGTTTCCACACTTGCTGTAGTCTCTGCTTGTACTGTGATCTGTACATATATATATATATATATGCATGCTGGCTCTTGCTAGGTAGCCATCACTGTACTGTTATTGCTGCATATATATCTCTGCATGTGAACTGGCCCAGTGGCCCTTTGCTTGTGCTCAGAATGCGTGGTGACGTTGTGATCCACCCTGAGCTTGTTTTGCTTCTCTTGACTGGTCGTGTGACCCCTTGTTCTCCCCCACTTTGCCTATGGGGGTGTGTCAAACTATATGTGCTGCATATTGTCTAGGCTGTAGTGGGGTAGCCCATATGGGGTACAACCTAGTTAGGGTTTACTACTTGTACTCCTGCATCCTGTTAGTTCATCCATTCCTGCTGCTAGATTCTTACATGCCCTAGCGATTCTTCCTTGATTGGAATGGAAGGTCGGGTGTCGTTAATCCAAGACAAGATGATAGTCAGCTTCGCTATAGAGTGTGTGTGACAAACGAAGCTTACTAGTAGTGTGTGTGACAAACGAAGCCTATAAGTAGTCCGTGTGACAAAGTTTGTGCATCATACACTGTATAAGGGAGAGCAATATCGCCACTCCCGTTCCCACTCTACACAAAAATGTACACATGGTCAAAACTGCTATGATCTGAGACATAACCTGGTCCGATCAGACTCTACTCTACAGCCCAACCTGTCACTCCCTACACACAGGCCAGAGTGACTTAGCCACCTGAGGTGCTGGTGGGTTTGATCAAGCGGGGCTAGCCTTTCTGACATGGCAGAATCAACCTCTTTGTGCGGTGCCCTGGAACTGTCCTCTGAGTTTTCTATAAATGCAAGAGATTGGCATTTTCTACGCGATAACGGCCTGCTCAGTGTGTGGTACTGCGCATGCGTGTACCACGAGTTTTGTACGCGGTATTGGCGTCTAGTTGATCCCGGTAGGGAACACAACCGCGTCCGTCGTATGAACCGCAAGTTTCTTCGCCATGTAAAACACGTCGCCGTTGACTATAGTGATTGTGCTTCTAGGCGCAGCCCTCCCTTGAAGCACAACGTGGTTCTTCGCGTTCGGCTTGGACGCTTTCACGAGAACAAGAGGCTTCTTGTCGCCGCCAATTGCGACAGTCGCGATTGGTGTGTTCATTCGCAGCATCTGCAGCTGGCGAAAAGTGTACACGCCCTGGATCGCCTGGTAACCGACGAGCGTCGCGAGCTGGCTCGCACTGTAGCTCGTAACTTTCACCTTATTGATTGCCTCGTTACTCGGCACGAGCAGTGTGAGAGGCTGCTGGAGAGCGGAGCTGACCTCTTTGATTTGGCCTGGAAGCAGAAAACGCGAGGAGGGGGGAGGGAAAAGGATGAGAGGTCGAGGGAAAGGTGAGCGAAGCAGGAATAAAGACGAGAGACGAAGGGAATAAACGCAACCCATGGTGTTCAACACATTGATACGAGACAGTGCGTGAATTCAGTAAGTTCGTGGGTCCGTAAACCGTGACATCAAACTCACTGTATAACTTCGCGAGGGCCGCGAACTGAGTGTAACCCGTTTCGTTGAGCCTCTGCACCGCCTTGTCGAAGGCCGAAATTGAGCTATTTGTTTTCCCGGAATCTCCAGAATTCGTCGAGCCACCTCCCGACCCCTTTGCGCCAGTCCCAGAGCTCTTACTACCACCGTTAGAGCCAGCAGGTGCGCCCTTTGCGGCGCCCTTTGCGGCGGTAGTTGCGGCGCAGAAAGTTAGACAGGAAGACGCAGCGAGCGCGAGGACGATAAGAACTAGGATTCGTTTAGACGCCATTGCGGGACGGGATCTACGGTAGCTACTAAGAGCAGATTTGGCTAGCTATGGCTACTCGACCGCTTCAAAGAATCACTTGAAGACACGGAATTCGAGAGATAGGGAGGGCTAATCGTTGGCGCGCGTAGGTTCTACCAGGGAGGTACGTGACGCGTGCAGAGAGAAGGAAATGTCGACCTCTGGTTTCCTAAAGGAACTTGATGAGTGAAAGGGATGATGGTTGCTAGGAGAACTGGTTGTGATGAATGAAAATTGGAGCTCAAATGGGAATTTGTAGTGGGCGCGAGCATGACCGCGAGTCCGCCTGGTTCTTGCGGTGTATCTGGGTTTCCAGCGTGGTTCAGTGCAGAAAGGCTTGGTGTCACCCGAACCTGCTTTTCACCGCACTAGACCCGAGATAACCGAAAAGACTCGTGAAAATGAGTCACGGGAATTGGAACTGAAATTGGAAAGTTGCTGGCGGTGGCGCCACGGCTTGGGCACATTGGAGTGATGGAAGCGCGCGTTGATCAACGACGGCTCTGAAATTCGCCAACGTGGTGGTGGTCTGTCGCTTGTTGCCAGTAGGCGACAGTCTGGGTCGCCGACAGGAGGGATAGATAACGGCGAAACCGCGAAACAGACGGTAATGACGACGTTGATCGTCCGCTTCAAAGCCCTTGCCCGTGAAGAAGACAGTCGGCGAAGCAGATTCAGGACGATGACGACAGAATTTTCGCATGTCGGTTGATGACAAATTTTCGCGGTTCCGGCTCGCACAATGAGCCCGTACTTCTTACGGAGCTCTCCGTTTTTTGCCGAAGTCTGAACAAATTCTGGTCAGTGTACGGCTTACCTCGTATTCGCGTCGATGAGGACAGCTTTTCCCCAAACCACATCCGCGATTAAAGCGGTTTTCGCGATCAAGTCTTTCGCACACCGAACGGCGAAAGCCTTGGGGTAGGGTATCCCGAGCCAATTTCTCGATTTCGCCTCCAGCATCACACACGACACAAATCGTAACTGCTTCGCTGGGTTTTAGGTTGGCGTTTGCTCCCGCAAACCCCGAACCCCCGCCACCACAAAACCCCCTGCTTTCCTCGTTCTCCTGCCTTTCCTCCCACCTGCTTCTGCCCGCGTTATCCCCACGCTAAGAAATAGCAATTCGCTCGCATACCGCCTTGCACGTAGGCGCGGATCGCTAACAACAAAAGGTGAGCATAGCCGTCGAGGAGAGAGACGTTCATTAGGGTTAGCGCACACATACTTCGACGGTTGCTTAGGCGCTTCTCGAACTCTGCACTCCGCGTACATTATTCGTGCCGTCGCATTCGCCACGCCACAATCACGCCGTTTAGGTCGCCACGCCGCAATCGCACCGTTGCATTGGCGTATGCCACTTTCGCACCTGTCGCATTCACTCACCCTTACATCCCCGCTCCCTGAGTCAATCCCTTTCATCCCCTCTCCCTTGCTCGGGCTCCCCTTCCATTTCCCCACAATCTCTCCAGCTCCCCCTTACATTGCGCCGCCCCGTCTTTTGAGAATTCTCAAAAAAACATTCCCTTCCATTTCCCCACGATTTCTCGAGCTCCCCCTTACATTACGCCTCCCTGTATCATGGGGAGCTTCCCCCCTTGCCCCCGCGCCAACCCTCCCTTCCCCCCGCGCCAAACCCTCCCTTCCCCCCGCTCCAATCCTCTCCCCCGCGCCAACCCTCATTTTCCCCACGCTACCCTTCCCGTTTGATCCAGGTTACCGTCCCACACGCTAACCCTCCCTTTCCCCCACACCATCCCTGCTTTTCCCCCACGCTAATTCTGCCTTTTCGCTCCCACCACTCGCCCTTTCCCCCACCCCACCCGCCCTTTCCCCCACCCTTTCCCCACGCCCACCCGCCCTTTCCCCCACTCCTCCCCGCCCTTTCCCCCACGCCCCCCCGTCCTTTCCCCCACTCGCACCCGTCCAATCCCCCAGTCCCACCCTTACTTTCCACCACTCCCCCAGGTCCACACCTCCCTTTCGACCGTGCATGCCCTCCGCTCCTTGTGAGTGTTTTTTGAGAATTCTCAAAGATCACTCACAAGGACTACAACTCTCAAGATATTCTCCCCTTCTCCCCAAGAATGCTACCCCTGTCATTCTCCCTTCCCCCCTGCTACCCCTGTCATTCTCCCCTGTTCATGTCGCATTGTATACCAGGTTACTTTGGCGAGGTTGCTCGTCAACGGGTTACGCGAACGTCGTTCAACCTTTTCAACGATTCGTCTGTGGCCCGCAGGTTTTAACCGGCTATTTGCGTGATCCGCTACGCGTAGGAAACAGGCTGCTAATGGCGGGGATGAATGCGATGGCTGAGAAGAAGGGGAAGAAGAGAAAGGAGGAGAAGGCCGATGGGGTTGAGAAAACGAAGAAGGCGAAAAAGAATGTGACTAAAGAGGGGGATGCCAATAAGGAGAGCTTGTCTATCTTGGCTGTGCCGCGCCAAGTGCAGCTGAAGGTGAAGAAGGGCAAGATTGCGGAGGATGCGAAGGCTGTCGCGAAGGAAGCGAAAATTGCTGCGAAGGCTGCGAAGGGTGCTGCAAAGGACGCGAAGCTTGCCTCGAAGATTGCTGCGAAGGCTGCGAAAATTGCTGCGAAGGATGCGAAGAATGTTGCGAAGGATGCGAAGAATGCTGCGAAGGATGCGAAGCGTGCTGCAAAGGAAGTGAAGGAAACGAAGGAGGTCAAGACTAAGATGGAGAGAAAGGAAGTGAAGCAGGAGAAGAAGGGAAAGAAGGGGAAGGAGACCGCGAAAATTACGGAGAAGAAAGAAAAGGAGGAGACAAAGGAAGTTAAGAAGGGGAGGAAGGGTAAGGTGACGACGGAGTTTACAAAGAAAACGGAAAAGAAAGAGACGAAGGAAGAGGAGAAGGGGAAGAAGAAGGCTGAGAAGAAGGGTAGAGGAGAAGAAGATCAAAGACGTGAAAGCGGAGAAGAAGGGAGCGAAGGAGGGGGAGAAGGGGACGGGGAAGGAGAAGGGGAAGGAGGGAGAAAAGACTGGCAAGAAGGGAAAGAAGGGCAAAGAGGAGGTGAAGGAGGAAAGCAGTGATGAGGAGATGGAGGAGGCGAGTGAGGAGAGTCAGGAGGAGGAGAGTGAGGAGAGTGAGGAGAGTGAGGAGGAGAGTGAGGAGAGTGAGGAGGAGGAGGAAGAGAGTGAGGAGGAGGAGGAAGAGAGTGAGGAGGTGGAAGAGAAGAAAGTTGTGAAAAAAGAGGAGAGCAGCGAGGAGGAGAGTGAGGAGGAGGAGGAGGAGGAGGAGGAGGAGGAGGAGGAGGAGGAGGAGGAGGAGGAGGAGGAGGAGGAGGAGGAGGAGGAGGAGGAGGAAAAGAAAGTGAAAAAGGAGGAGAGCAGTGATGAGGAGGAGAGTAGTGATGAGGAAGAGGAGGAGAGTGAGGAAGAGGAGGAAGAAAAGAAAGTTGTGAAAGAGGAGGAAAGTAGTGAGGAGGAGGAGAGTGAGGATGAGAGTGAGGATGAGGAAGAGGAAGAGAAGAAAGTTGTGAAAAAGGTAGCAGCAAAGAAGGATAGCAGTGAGGAGGAGAGTGAGGAGGAGGAGGAAGAGAAGAAAGTTGTGAAAAAAGAGGAGAGCACTGAGGAAGATGAGAGTAGTGAGGAAGAGAGTGAGGACGAGGAAGAGGAGGAGGAGGAAGAGGAGGAAGAAAGTTGTGAAAGAGGAGAGCAGTGAGGAAGAGGAAAGTAGTGAGGAGGAAAGTGAGGGGGAGGAAGAGGAAGAGAAGAAAGCTGTCAAAAAGGAAGAGAGCAGCGAGGATGAGAGTAGTGAGGAGGAGGAGAGTGAGGAGGAGGAAGAGGAAGAGAAGAAAGTTGTGAAAAAAGAGGAGAGCAGTGAGGAGGAGGAGAGTAGTGATGATGAAGAGGAAAGTGAGGAGGAGGAAGAAGAGGAAGAGAAGAAAGTTGTGAAGGAGGAAAGCAGTGAGGAAGAGGAGAGTAGTGAGGAGGAGGAGGAGGAGGAGGAGGAGGAGGAGGAGGAGGAGGAGGAAGGGAAGAAATTGAGCAGTGAGGAGGAAAGTAGTGAGGAAGAGGAGGAGGAGGAGAGTGAGGAAGAGGAGGAGGAGGAGAGTGAGGAAGAGGAAGAGAAGAAAGTTGTGAAGAAGGAAGATGAGGAGGAAAGTAGTGAGGAAGAGGAGGAGGAGAGTGAGGAGGAGGAGAGTGAGGAGGAGGAAGAGGAAGAAAAGAAGGTTGTGAAAAAGGAGGAAAGCAGTGAGGAAGAGAGTAGTGAGGAGGAGGAGAGCGAGGAGGAAGAGAAAGCGAAGAAGTCAAATGTGAAGGAGACCAAGAAGGAAAGAGGGGGTCGGCAGCAGCGGCAGCAGGAGCAACAGGAGGAGCAACAGAAAGAGCAGCAGCAGCAGAATGGATGGCAGACAACCCCTGCCAAGGTATTTGTTTGCGGCAAGGTACTGAGTGGGCGGCAAGGTACTGAGTGGGCGGCAAGGCTCGGGGTGGCTCGTGTGCTTGCCATTATCAGGCTTGCATGTGCAGCGGTAGCTGCAGCAAAGCAAGTGTGCGTCCAGCGTTTTGATTCTGCAAGTTCCATTGCTCGTTGACGTCTCATCTCGTATTCTAGAACGTCTCATCCTTCCTTCCCATTCTTCTTCCTTCACCCCCCACTCAGCTCACCGGCAGCAAGAGGAGCTTTGATGCCATCTCACTGGGATCAGGCGGCAAGCTGGGCAGTGCTGCAAGAGCTTCACCGAAATGCTCTATTCCAATGCCTCTTCTACTTCCCCTCCCACCCCACTCTACCCAACTCAGCTCGCAGGCAGCAAGAGGACCTTTGAAGCAATCTCCCCGGGATCCGGCAGCAAGCCAGGCAGTGCTGCGAGAGTCCCTCCCCATTCCTCACCCCACCCCATGCCCCACCCGTGCTCATTCTCTATTTCCCTGCCTCTTCCACTCCCCCTCCCACCCCACCCCACCCCACCCCACTCAGCTCACCGGCAGCAAGAGGAGCTTTGATGCCATCTCACCGGGTTCAGGCAGCAAGCTGGGGAGCGCTGCAAGAGCGTTCCAGAGAGTGAAGGTGGAGGAGGTGAGAGCGAGGCTTCTTTGTCCTTGCCAGTGAGTGCACAGCTTCTGTTCCTGTTTATTGAAAAACACAAATGCCCTGTCCCATTTGGTGAGTCAGAGTCAAGCTTGGCAGCGCGGCAAGGGCGTTCCAACAAGTGAAAGTGGAGGAGGTGAGAGCGATGGTTGCTTGTCTGTGTTTAAGGCGCCTGTACAGTTTAATGCTGTCTCGCCGGGATCAGGGAGCAAGCCGGGGAGTGCAGCAAGAGCGTTCCAACTGAGGGGGAGGAGGTGAGTCGTGTGGCGCCCCTCTTTCCACCTCCGACGTGAGGGGCGAACTGAGCATGGAAGCTCACATCATCACTTGCTTGCTTGTCCACACCTGACTGACCACCACCCCTCGCGTGCTCGCCATGCATGCCTCATAGCCCAGAACCACCCTCCACCCACTCATCAGCTCCCTTCCTTCTCTGCCGTACCTGCTCTCCTGCGCTCCACTCCCACCCCCGCCCCGCTTCCCCGCGCCCTGCTTGTTCTCTGTTTGCGTGTGATGTGCTGTTCCCCCCAGGTGCAATTCAAAGACCCCCGGCTCATGGATAACTCGTACTGGGCCAAGGTAAGTGGGGCTGGGGCAAGTTGGGGGTTACTCTGTATAGTGGGTTGTGGCATGGCATTGGATTGGATCATCGACTGGACAGCAAGGCATTGTGGTAATCGGGGCATGAAGGGATTTTGCATGTGTGTTTGCTCAAATGCTATTCACGGACCCCCGGCCTCGTGGATGACTTGGGTGAGAGGGGCTGGGGCAACATTGCTGTTTCCCAGCATGGTAGGTGCTTCGGCCATAGACAGAAAAATAGCATGGTGGTTGGGGCATATGACATACATGTTTGCTCAGGTGCAATTCGAGGACCCCCGGCCTCGTGGATGACTTGTACTGGGCTATGGTGAGTGGGGCTGGGACCTGGAGGGATGGGGCATGGTTTAGTGCTACACCTTGCAAGGGATGTTGAAACAAGGGCATGGAATGTTGTCTCCCTCCCATGCTACGTGTCACTCTCCATATGCCACATGCCCTTTGCGTATGCCATGTGTCCCTTCTATTTGCCACGTGTCCCTTGCATATGCCACGTGTCGTTTGCATGTGCCACGTGCGTACCTCCCATGCCACGTGTCCCTCCCATCCCACATGTCCGTTCCAATTCTCACATGTCTCTACCATATGCCACATGTGCTTTTATTCAATTTTATTCCAACCAGAGTGGGGCGGGCACTGGCTGGGGCGCTAAGGCACAGGAGATTCTGGGCCAAGTCAGGGGCAGGTGAGAAAAGCAGAGACATGGCAGGTCCAGGTGAGAACAACAGAGACATGGTAGGGACAAAAAAGAACAGCAGAGACATGGCAGGGGCAGGTGAGGACAACAGAGACATGTCAAGGGCAGGTGAGAACAACAGAGGCATGGCGGGGGCAGGTGAGAACTGTATGCCATTTGTCTTGATTTGTCCACATGCATCTGTATCATAATGCACCTTCTTTCTTTGCATTCTCATGTGTGGCACATGTAACATGCGGTTACCGCAGGGGGTTCCGACATGAGAAGACAAAGAAGAAGAGGGGCAGCTACAGGGGCGGCATCATCGACCAGGGGAGCCACTCTATCAAGTTTGCTGACTCCGACGATGAGTAATAATCGCTGCATGCCATGTGCCTCAGAATTTTAGGCGCCTCAGAAGTGCTACAGGGGCGGCATCATCGACCAGGGCAGCCACTCCATCAAGTTTGCTGATTCCGACGGCGAGTAATCACTGCATCTCGTGTGCTTATGGAACACTGGGACAATGGGCATTGCAATAGTGATGTTGATGTGGGAAACACTGTCTAGTATTATCATTTGGAAAATTCAAGAACAATGCAGGGTGATGATGTGCATAGGAAGTGCTGAGCTAGATGCTGACTCTATTCAAGACTTCATTGTTTATGAAACTGGTGTTTCCTTTTCCTTTTAGTGTTAGTAACAGTCAAAGATCTCACTATCTCTGATAGCGATCTCTGATAGCGAGATACTTCGAAGACAGGGTACCGTATACACCTGAGGTGAGGAGGGTTCGCCGCTGGATGCCAAATTTCATCATCATGCATGTTGCGCAAAATGGTGGGTGTTGTGCCCCACCGCCTGCCAGCACACCTGACCACGTCATTCCCAAGGCTCTGGATTCGCAGCGCGCTGCAAATGGTAAGGCCAGACAAAATCCCAACAACCTGACTGTTGCTGGAGAGGGTTCAAACAATTGTTTCGAGAATCGTCGTTCGCTGCTCAATCGAAAGCCTTCGAATCTCGCATTGCGTGGTAACCAGATTAAACAAGGCCGGATGAAAGTGGGCGTAGAGTTTGGTTGACATTTCTAATGGGGCACACAGATGGGGCAACGGCAACATGCCCGGGATAAGCTAGGGATGGACGGATAAGCTAGGTCATGTCGTCAAAAGTGTTCACTTCATGCCGCCATAAGTGTTCAGTTTATGCCGATATGCTGAGATGTTTTGCGTGGTCGTTTGAATTTTAGAGCGGTTAGGTATGGTTTTGAGCAAAAATGGCATGCAATACCCCCACGAACAAAGTTACTCCGTTTGATCAACACATCCTAACACTCTTATTAGCTCAGGCTTCCGCTAGCTAAAGCATAGACGAATAGCTCGTGGGTCCGTAAGGTAAGTCGGCGGTCTCGCTCTGAGTAAGCGGAGTACGTCCTGTCTTAGAACGAGCTCTCTTGGCGTCTACAATAGGGAGACATTGGGCTTCGACGCGTTTAGACATTCTAATTATCCGTGACCTAACTTCGAGTCCAGCCGCTGCGCTGCCGATGCTTGTAACTGGATAAGAGGCCCAGCTTTAGGTAGTCGCGTTTATTTGACAATGTGATATTCGTACAATCTGTCTTCGCAAGGAGAAGCAGCTGGTAGCCTCGTCACATTTCGCATTCCGATAACAATGGTACCGAACCGAGTGGTAACACTTCTGCGGTATTTCAGCATCGCTTACAGACTTACTTAATAAGTCCCCTAGAACAAACTTTATTTCATTTTACATTCGATTGACATAATGTCGAAGCGAGTCGTACCAGTCCCGCGGTATTCTAGCCTCGACTCGGGGGACTTCCGCCGAACCCGCTCCCAGGGGGCTCCGCCAGCCGTGGACTCGCGGAACTGTTCCGCGGATACGCGCACGTCGTCCGCCGATATGCGCAACTCTTCCGCGGATATGCGCGGAAGAACCAATCAGTGCCAATCCCGGGCACAGAATCAAGGTCAGGGCCAGGGACCAATGAGAATGAACCGATCGCGAAGCCACCAATCAAGTTCTGACGACTACCCGCAATTCTCGGCGGCAGAACTGGCGGAAATCGAGCACGAGATCGCCAGGTCGACCGTTAAAGTCGTCGCCTGGTTTCGCCGATCCGAGTGCGACGGTGCTGACGTGTACTTTCTCCCTCCCCCCGGCTCAGTCCCATTCAACAGCGTCGGTGGTTTAGACCCTTCGTTAGTCAAGCCTGCCACGTCAGCATTCCCAGGATCCTGGAGCACAGGGAGCGGCGCAGCGACCAAGGGATTGCCGCCACGTTGGGCGGAACACGCGGGTGAGAAGAGTTCAGGATATGGGAGAAACCCGAACTCCCACTCGCAGGATTGGGGGAGCAGCAAACCCCCTCCTCCCCTAGACTCTAAAAAGGCCACCCCGGGTAAGAAAGCTAAGGAAAAGAGCCGGGGAGACAGCGGGGCTAGCGGGAAAGGCGGGAAGGCGGCGGGAGGGGGGCGAGGCGCGGACGAGACGACCCGCAAGGCGAAAGCGCTGCTAGAGACGTCTGTAGAACGGCGGCTGGTGCGGTCTAAGAGCGCCGTGGGGAAGCCGCAGCAGGCGGGGAAGGGAGGCGCGGGGGGAGGCGGGGTGGGGGGGCAGAGCCCCGGAGGTGGCGGAGCAGGGGGAGCGTCTGGGGAGGGGGGAGCAGGAGCGGGAGGGGGAGGGGGAGGGGGGAAGGGGAAGAAGCGCGAGGAGGAGAGTGAGGGGCTAGGGTTGCGGAGGTCTCACTCAGAGGACCGGAGGGGGTTGCATGTGGGGGAGGGTGTATATGCTAAGGCGTTGAGATTTCTTCCTAAAGGGCTGGGCTTTGGGCGAGATAGCACTGTAACGAGTAGCGGGGATGGGGCTAAGACGCCAGGGAAAAAGAAGCAGCAGGAGAAACAGCAGGCGCAGCAGCAGCAGCAGCAGCAGCAGCAGCAGCAGGTGCAGCAACGGAACGAGGAGTGGAGACGAGGTAGCAGGGATGAAGTGGGTGAAGAGGAGAGGGGAGGGGGAGGAGACGAGGGGGAGAGGGGAAGAGAAGACGAGGGGAGTGAGGATGGGGGTTGGCGGAATGAAGAGGGGGAACGGGGCCAGGAGAGGGGGAGAGCGCAGGCGCGCGGAGTGGAAGGAGATGAGGGTGGGGAAGGGGACCGAGAGGTCTATGGGGGGGAGTTGGAAGATAGGAGAGGAGAGGAAGGAGAGGAGGAAGGAGAGGAGGAGGATGAGGGCTACCAAAGAAGAGACGAGATTAAGGGAAGGAAAGAGAGAGATTACAGGGAGGAGGGAGGGGAGGTGGAGGAGGAGGACGACGAGGTGGGGGACGGAGAGGGGGGGAGTGATGGAGAGAGGGACGACAGAGGGGAAGCAGCTTCGGCTTTTGCCAAGGGAAGCAGAGGATTCGGTGGGGCCAGTCACGCGGCGACAGCTGGCAACGACGACCTTTATGGTGATTTTGATGATGACGAGGATGATTATGACGCGGGATCTCCTTTCAGGTCGCCTTGTAACGAGGATTTTCGTAGCAGGATGGCAGGGCGGGATGGGAGCTCTGCGGAACGTGATTCGCGGTCGGATGGGGGCTGGGAGTATGGGGATGAGTATGGGGAGGAGGGTGTGAGGGAGGGGAGGGACGTGAGGGAAGGGAGGGAAGGGAGGGAGTGGAGGGAGGGGATGGAGGGACAGAGAGGTAAAGATGAGAGGGATGAGGAGGAGCAGGAGCAGGAGCAGGAGGAGGAGGAGGAGGACGTTTTCCCAGTAGCCACACCCCCTGCTCTTGCAAGAAATCTGACTAAGGAAAAGCAGATGCAGGGCCAACAATCGCAGAAGCAGCAGGTGCGGCAAGGGCAGCAGCAACATCAGGGGGAGGAGGAGGAGGAGGAGGAGGAGGAGGAGGAGGAGGAGGTGGAGGAGGAGGAGGTGGAGGATGGGGAGAAGGAAAGAGATTTGTGGGAAGAGGAAGACGAGAAGGAGGATGAGGGAAGGGATCCATGGGAGGAGGAGGACAAGGGGGATGAGGAAAGGGATGGGTGGCAGGAGCAGCTAACGCACAAGCAGCAGAAGAGGCAAGGGCAGCAGCAGAAGGTAGGATTGGAAGAGGAAGAGAAAGAAAGGAGATTATGGGAGGAGGAAGAGGAGAAGGAGGGTGAAGAACGGGATTTGTGGGAGGAACAGCAGGAGAAGGATAAATGGGGTGAACAAGAAAGCAACGAGTGGGGGCAGCAGCGGGAGCGGGAGCAAGGGCAAGGGCAGAAGCAGCAGCAACAGAGAAAGCAGCCACAGCAACAGACGCAAGGGGAGGGGTATGACGATGGTGGTTACAGGAAAAATGGGTTTAGGGTCCCAGTCAATGGGGGGTATAATGAGGGCGATCGCTACAATGACTCGAACAACCGTGCTTATAACGAGGACGACAGCTTCAGTGACAGCAAGAGCTTTGATAGAACTGAGTCTTACAATCAGAATGAGGGTTACAATAGGAATAGGGGTTATAATGGAGACGGGGTGTACAGTGGTGAGGATGTGGGGAGAATGCGAAGAGACGAAGAGAGGGAGGAAAGGGAGGGGGAAAAGGAGGAGGAGGAAGGTAAGGATCATGATGCTGATAGTGATGATGATGATAGCGAGGATGATTCTGACGATGATGATGTTGCGATAGCTGTTGCTGCAGATGCCATACTCCCTGATGTGAACGGGCAAGGGGTGAGGGGGAGGAACGCCTATTCACACGCACAGGGGTTTATGGAGCAAGGAGGGGAGGAGGCAGGTGAGAGGACGTGGGAAGAGGAGGAGGAGGAGGAGAGGCGATCTTGGGTGGACGGGCAGGAGGAGGGAGGGACGGATGGAGCAGGAGGAGGGGTGAGTGGTGCTTTCAGGGAGTTGGGTGGTGGGGTGGTGCAGGGTGGTGAGGAGGAGGTGAAGGGGAAGGGCAAGAAGGGGAAAGTAAAAGGTGAGAAGGTTAAGAAGGTGAAGAAGAAAGGAAAGGAAGAGAAGGAGAAGGAGGGGAAGGAAGGGAAGGAAGGGAAGGAGGGCAAGGGGAAGAAAGTAGTCAAGGTGAAAAAGCAGGGGAAGGAGAAGGAGGGGAAGGAGAAGGAAGGGAAAGATAAGAACGTGAAGGAGAAGGAAGGGAAGGTAGAGAAGGTGAAGAAGACAAGAAAGAAGCTGGAACTGCAGCAGCCATTGCAGCAGGAACAGGATGAAGGGGAGGTTTTCGACCGTCAGATGGAGCAGTACAAGCGATCACAGTCGTTGGATCACGGCAAGCATGCCGCCCAGCTGGCATCGGCTTCGGAGCATACCCTGCCACACAATCTGAGCTTCGTGTCACCGCCACATCATCACCAGAATCAAATCTCCACCCCGCACCGTGTCTCGCCGCCCAGTAACATCTGCATGCCCCCCCATCATGTCTCGCCGCCGGCCAATCGCGTCTGCCCGCCGCCCAATCACGTCTCCCCGCCCCATTATGCCCCTGTGCAACAGCATGCATCGCCGGCCAATCACATACCTCCAGCATACTACACGGCACCATCGCCACGTCATCACAGCATGGGGCAAGGCATGGGACAAGGCATGGGACAAGGCACAGGCTATACGATGGATCATGGGGTAGGCATGGTGGCAACACCAGGGCATCACGGCCGCATGGGGAGTGACATGAGCCAAGGCATGGGGCAAGGCATGGGACAAGGCATGGGACAAGGCATGGGACAAGGCATGGGACAAGGCACAGGCTATGGCATGGAGCATGGGGTGGGCATGGTGGCAACAGCAGGGTATCCGCAGCATGGCAGGATGGGAAGCGACTTGAGTCACAGCATGGGGCACGAGCAGCAAGAATGCCAACCTTCTTATGAGCCACCACAGAAGGCTTTTGGGGCGCAACGACCTTCTTTTGAGGTTCCTCCGAAGCAGGGGTGGGATTTGAGGCGTGGTGCAGGGGGGCATGGGGAGCAGAGGCAGCAGATGGGGGTTGGGATGGGTGAGGAGGAGAGAAGTAGCGGTGGTGATGGACGGGCGGCGGACAGGTGGCGGAACGTGATTGGCCGGCCGTTGGAGCGGGTGGAGGAGAGATACGAGATGGTGGGGGAGGTGTTGGGGAGAGGGTACTTTGGGGATGTGGTGGTGTGTCGGGAGAGGCGCACAGGAGAGTACATGGCGTGTAAAGTGATCAAGAAAGCAAACATCATGGTGAGTTGGTTTTACATAGGGGTGCATGCGGGGCGAGATGCATGCGCGAGGTGCTAGTGGGGAGCGGCGCACAGGAGAGTACATGGCGTGTAAAGTGATCAAGAAAGCAAACATCATGGTGAGAAGATTTTTGTCATAATGCTGTTGCACCTCAGTTTTTTTTTTTCTTATTACTATTCGTGCTTTTCTATATGAGTTTGATCTGCGCCCTTGTTGATCACGACTTTCGATGTACGTGCATGTACGAATTCACATGGCATGACATGGCATGGTGCACGGCATGGCATGGTGCGTGGGGCATGGGGCATGTCATGGTGCATGGGGCATGGGACACGGTGCATGGCATGGGGCATGGCATGCACGATGCCATGGCACATCACATCAGAGCGAGGACGATGCGGAGGACGTGATGAACGAGGTGGCAGCACTGGATACTGTGCGAGGGCACCCCCATATTGTTCAGCTCGTGGAGACCATAGAGGACGAGCAGGTGGGTGGTTGCTGGCAGCAGGGTTCAAGGAGTTGTGCGCTAGTAGGATGACTCAGAGGACGTGATGAACGAGGTGGCAGCATTGGATACAGTGCGAGGGCACCCCCACATTGTTCAACTCGTGGAGACCATAGAGGACGAGCAGGTGAGCTCACATCTGAGAGGGCACCCTCTGAGTGGCAGTAAAGGGCACATCAGACGAGATAAACGAGGTGGCAGCGCTGAATACAGTGAGGGGGTACCCCCATATCGTGCAACTCGTGGAGACGATAGAGGACGAGCAGGTGGGTGGCAGGTAATATGAGTGGTTATGAGTGGACACACAGGACGTGCTATGAGAGGATGTGATGAACGAGGTGGCGGCGCTGCATACAGTGCAAGAGCACCCGCATATCGTGCAAACACTATTCGAGTTTTGAGACGTCTCACAACGTGTCCCGCCCGCCCTTCATGTCCCCGTCCACCCTGTCCCCATCCACTGTATCCATTGTGTGTTCAGTTGCAAACTCTATACTCCTTGTCATCTCCCACCCGCACACCCGATCCCCACCCCATCATCCCCCCCCACCATCCACCCTATCCTTGATTTATGTGAGGGAGGCACACTGCAGGAGGCGGTCTGAAATCCAAGGGTGAACCTTAATCCGGGGGCGAACCTTAATCCGGGGGCGAACCTTAATCCGGGGGCGAACCTTAATCCGGGGGCGAACCTTAATCCAAGGTCCTTGGGCGCTGCCCGAAACCGCCCGTGTCTTTTTCTTCTCTTCACAACCCCCATCCACCCAGGCCATCTACCTCACTCTCGACTTCTGTGAGGGCGGCACACTGCAACAGGCCGTCTGAAAGCAAGAGGGCTGGAGCGATGTTAGGATTTAATCGCTCTCATATCCTCCCCATCCCATCCCCCTCTCTCCACTGCTTCAGGCCCTCTACCTCATCCTCGACCTCTGTGAGGGCGGCACACTGCAACATTCTCCTCGTCGTCTCCCTCCCCATCTCTCACCCCCTCACCCAGGCCATCTGCCTCATCCTCGACCTCTGTGAGGGCGGGACACTGCAACAAGCCGTGCGGAACGAGTACTCCGTGCTTGAGCAATGTGAGAGTTTGCGCCCTCCCATATTCCTTCTTCACCACCCCTCTTTTCATCCATCCCACCAGGCCATCTGCCTCATCCTCGACCTCTGTGAGGGCGGCACGCTGCAACAGGCCGTGCGGAACGAGGGGCCCTGCTAGAGCATTGGTGAAAATTGGGCCCTCTCGTATTCCCTCTTCACCCCCCTCTTTTCATCCATGCCCCCAGGCCATCTACCTCATCCTCGACCTCTGTGAGGGCGGGACACTGCAACAGGCCGTGCGGAACGAGGGCCCCTTGAACGAGCGGCGGGCGGCGGCGGTTTGTCAGGGTGTGGCGGCGGCGCTGCAGTGGTGCCACGGGTGTGGGGTGATGCACCGCGATGTGAAGCCGGATAACATTCTGCTTGTGAGGAGAGAAGACAGCAGCTACGTCAAGCTGGCCGACTTTGGCATCTCGCTCTTCTTCCAGCAAGGTGCGAGGTGTTTGTCTTGTCAGGGAGTGGCAGCTGCAGTGGTGCCGCTGGTGTGGGGTGATGCACCGCCATGTGAAGCCGGATAACATCCTGCTAGTGCGGCGAGAAGACAGCAGCTACGTGAAACTAGCTGACTTTGGCATCTCGCTCTTCTTCCAGCAAGGTGAGCCGCGATACCAGTGCCAGCTAGAAGCAGGTGTTGTGTTGCAGTGGTGCCAGTGGTGCCACTCGTGCCACGGGTGTGGGGTGATGCACCGCGATGTGAAGCCAGATAACATCCTCCTAGTTAGACGGGGCGATGATACTTATATGAAGCTGGCTGACTTTGGCATATCCCTCTTCTTCCAGCAAGGTAAGGCACCCGAAACCCTGAACCCTGAGCTCTAGGCATGTAGTAGCAGTGGTGCCACGGGTGTGGGGTGATGCACCGGGATGTGAAGCCGGATAACATTCTGCTTGTCAGGCGGGGGGACGATATCTACGTTAAACTAGCTGACTTTGGCATCTCCCTCTTCTTCCAGCAAGGTGAGCTGCTTGCGATACCAACACCCTCAACCCCCTGAATGCTGGAAGAGGGAGAGGGGTGCCACTGGTGGGTGTGGCGTGATGCACCACGATGTGAAGCCCAATAACATTCTGCTAGTTAGACGTGGGGATGACAGTTATGTCAAACTGGCTGACTTCGGCATCTCCCTCTTCTTCCAGCAAGGTGAGAACTGCTTGCGACAACATACTCTGACATAACATCTGAACCCTTCAACCGTTGACCCTAATGCTTGGCCCCTGCTCTCGCCCCTCCCCTTCTTCTCTCCGCGCCCCTTCTCCCTCTCCTCCTCCCCCCCACGCCTGCAGGGAGACGGTGGGGTTGGCAGCATTTATAGCTCCAGAGATGCTGCAACACTCCTTTTCCCACACGGTCAACACCTGGTCGCTAGGCTGTGTGCTCTTCTTCCTTCCAACCCAACCCAACCAACCCTCTCTCCTGCCCCCCACCCGTCCTCCTCCTCCCCGCGCCTCCAGGTGTGTCCTGCAGGGAAACAGTGGGTTCAGCCGCGTTTATAGCTCCAGAAATGCTGCAGCACGCCTACTCCCACACAGTCGACGTCTGGTCGCTAGGCTGCGTGCTCTTCTTCCTTCTCGCTGGGGTCAACCCAACCCTCTCTAACCCTCCCCACCCCTTCTCCCCCGCGCACATCTGCAGGTGTGTCCTGCAGGGAAACAGTGGGTTGAGCCGCGTTTATAGCTCCAGAAATGCTGCAGCACGCCTACTCCCACACAGTCGACGTCTGGTCGCTAGGCTGCGTGCTCTTCTTCCTCCTCGCAGGGGTCGTGCCCTTCTGAGGCGCCTCCAAGGACGCCTGGTCACTTGCTTGCGTGCTCTTCTTCCTTCCAACCCAACTCAATCCAACCTTCTCGTCTGCTCTCCCCTCCGCTCCTCCTCCTCCTCCACACGCCTCCAGGCGTCTCTTGCAGGGAGACGGTGGGTTCAGCCGCCTTCATAGCTCCAGAGATGCTGCAGCACGCCTACTCCCACACGGTCAACGTCTGGTCGCTCGGCTGCGTGCTCTTCTTCCTCCCAACCCAGCCCAACCAACCCTCTCTCCCGCCCCCCACCCGTCCTCCTCCCCGCGCCTCCAGGTGTCTCCTGCAGGGAAACAGTGGGTTCAGCCGCGTTTATAGCTCCAGAAATGCTGCAGCACTCCTACTCCCACACGGTCGACGTCTGGTCGCTAGGCTGCGTGCTCTTCTTCCTTCTCGCAGGGGTCGTGCCCTTCCGAGGCGCCTCCAAGGAGGAGACGTTCGAGCGAATCATGGAGTGCCACGTGGACAGGGCCATGCGGTTACCACCGTGGCCGAGAGTGTCTCCCGGGGCTAAGGACCTGGTGCGGCGGCTGCTGACAAGGGACCCTCGGGATAGGATTACTCTTGAAGAAGTTCTATGTGAGTATTCTTATCATTCTGATACGTGTTTTCCCCAGTGCAAAGGGCCTGGTGCGACGGCTGCTGACGAGAGACCCCCGTTATAGAATCACTCTTGATGAAGTTGTGTGTGATTGAATGACCGGCAACCCATGATTCACCGGCAACTGATTCGCATACAAAATCAACACAGACAGCCACTGCCGTTGCATTGACCAAGCAATCTCCGTTGCCTGATTCCTCCCATGCCCACCTCCCTTGCTCTCCTTTGTGCTGTGTCACGTCTCTCCAGGCCACCCACGGATCACCGGCACCTGATTCGCATACACAATCAACACAGATGGCCATTGCCATTGCAGTTGCATTGACAAGCAATCTCGCTTGCCCAATCCCTCCCATGCCCCACCCCCTTGCTCTTGTTTGTGCGGTTTCTTCTCTCCAGGCCACCCATGGATCACCGGCAACTAGACTCACATACCGTACAACCCCAACGCAGGATAGCGCATGCTGTATAGCTGCGAAAGGGTGGTACGGTGTGAGTGGTGACAATACACTGTGTGTGGAACAAACTGTACCTCCTGTTTATTGTGCGTGTTCGGAGTGAATTCATTCATTTCCGTACAATAGTTTTTTCTTGGCTCCAGTGTGCACAAAGACGTGTGGTTACTCGAGAAAATATGCTTCACTCATAGGCTTGTGCACCATAGGCTTGTGGAAATACTCTAGTGCTCAAATAGCCTATACCTAATTGTAGGTACATGCACAATGTAACAGAAGCACGAGATAACACCACATTGGTTCATGACCCAGCTTCAGCCACTATGTAGCAAAGCACCTATCCATTGTCAATCCCAACCCAACCATGTGCGAGAGTCTCCCCACCCCAACCTCCCTTCAAGCACTGAAGCAATGTGAAGTACACACACGCACGCACCTCCGTATCAAATCAACCGTCCACAACCACCTTCCATCTCTTGGCAAAACCATACTGGCATGGCAGGCCTCTCACTTCCACCAAACCCTGTCTCCTCTGCGTCAAACAACCTCCCCAACAGCTCTCCCCTCCCCCATTGCCACGACCGTAGCAAGAGAAACACGGAGAGAGGAGAGACATCACAACAGCATGCATCAAGACATTTGTAAGAAACCAGCAGCAGCCTCCATATCAACCATCCAGATCAGCCTCCCATCGCTTGGCAAAACCACACAGAGAACCGCTGAGGGTTCAGGTGTAAGCAAGCAGTCACAAAGCCAAAGAAATTCACTGACACGACTGATGTAAGTACCTAGTGAAAGCAGGTACGGTACCATACAAACGAGAAGGAGAGGGAGGAAAGACAAGTAGCAGCAGAGGTGAGGGGGAGGGACAAGTACCCTGGTTGTGGGAGGGAGGGGGGGTGATGGGGGACCAAGTGGGAGAGGGGCGTGGAGGGAATTGTAGGAGAGCAGTGAGGAGATGAGGGGTGAGTGGAGGCGGAATGAGAAATTTGGGGGGGGAGCAGACGGGGAAGAGGGAGAAGCCTGGAGTGAGGGATGGATGTTGGATGCGAATGGTGAGTGAGTGGGTGGGGGCAGACGAGGGGTGAGAGGGGGAAAGCGGAGGGGAGGAAGGGGGGAAGAGGGATGGTTAGGGAGGAGATACAAAGGGGGAGATGAAGAGGGGAGGAGGGGGGGGGGGGGGGGAGGGGGATGCAAAAGGGGGCAGCAAGTGCGCGCGGGAAGATAAGCGGAGCACTCAGGGAATTGAGGCGAGTGCAGGGAGAGGGGAGGGGGAGAGCGGGGACGACGAGGGGAGAGCGGGGGGAATGAGGAGAGAGCTTGGGGGTCACGAAGGGAGAGAGGTGGGAATAAGGGATGCGGAACGTTTCTAGGCAAGGTGAGGGGAAGGGGACAAGGGGAGGAAAGCGCAGGGAGGGAAAAGGAAAAAATCAGGAAAAATAGGCCACTCCGTCTGTCACCTCTCGCCAATCCTCTCCATTCTGATTCCCCTTACGCGCCTCAATCAGGACTTTCGCCAGTCCCCTTCCTGACATCCATTTTTTCCACTGTCTTGCGCAACGGTCAGGGTTCGTATCATGCGTTTTGCGCAATATGTCTCCCTGAATAAACGTTACGAATGTCTTCGCATTAGAAGAAATAAAAATTAAAAAATCCGACTCGAAATACCGTCCATAAATAAACTTTTCGAATGTGGTCTCAAACAGACGCTGATACTCCGAACTTCGATGAACCTTCGCGAATACATGAGCTACAAAAATCGTCAGATCTTACCACTACTGCCGCAAATCTGGAGAGAGCAACAGTAACCTTTTAAGATTCGACAGTAGTTAACGCACTAGATGTGTGAACGGGAGAATAATAAAGTACGACTGAAAGCGCGATCGAAAAAAGCTACGGTGATGAGATCTAACTTGTGTGGGGTGCACGCGCTGTGTGGGGTGGGCTGCCTGAACATTGCCAGGGCTTGTTTTCTGCACAGCCTGAGAAAAGGTTCGTTTCATTTCCTTGTGTATTCGTCTGCTACGCCAAGTCACTTAAAGTCGTAGAGAACAGAGATACTTATATAACTGGATACAGAGATAAATGTGCTTACTAAGATCCCTAGGATCCCTAAGTGTCAGACACCATATCTGCAGATCCCAGCTGCTCGCCTTTCTTGGGTCTTGATCTTCTGACCCCTCTCGGCCGTTGAGGCAAATGCCTGATGGGGAGGGAGGGGACTTACTTACAGGGCAGAAAGGAGGGGGACGGTTAAAATTATATACAGGGCAGCAGGGTGTAATAGAGGTTGACCAACACGAGGAAGATAGAGAGGTTCGAAGACAATCACAACCGAACTCAACCACGCCGAACCATACCTAACCTTCCGAACCTAACATCCTAGCTAATTCGAGCCTAGGTCTAGACCAGCCGTAACCACGATCCGAGCCTATCTAAGGCTAATGCGTCTCCTAGCTAAGCCTAATTCGAGCCTAGCGATCTGACTAACGCTCCTAGTTCTGACTAGCGCTCCTAACGTTCTGACAAACGCTCCTAACGTAAACCTAACGACCTAGGGACCCAGGGCCCAGACCCACTTACATGGCTGGTTGCTCCAAGCTCGCCACAACCTCCTTGCTCCAGCGAGGCGGCCAGCTTCTCCCCCCGCGCTCCCCCCTCGCCACTCCGAGCTCCGCGCACCTCGCCCGCGCAAGCTGCTGCGGACAAACAAGAACATAAAACAAAGGACGTTAGTGATTTGATAAGCTAGAAGTGCAATTGAAATTGACGGAACTTACAAGGAAAAGGGAGACCACCCAGTTTACCCCCTTGCTCGCCACCAACCCATCACCAGCCGCCGCGCTCCATCTGCACAAAGACAAAACACATAAGAGAAACTTAGTAAAACGTAAACCAAATAGTAACGGAAATTGATGATACTTACCAGAAGACAGAAATCTTGCCCCGTGTACCTCCTCCGCCCGCTCCAGCCGTTGCCCGTGCTCCCTGCTCCTGCTCCCTCTGCATTTAAAAGGCAAGGGACAAGGTAAAAAATGTTAGGTAACAGAAAACAGATGCTGAAGGGCAAAAACAGAAGATTGATGACCAAGCAGCGAGGTAAACACAGGCAAAACTTAGGCAGAACTTACCAGTAGAGGGAGATAATTCCGTTTACTCCCTCGCCGTCAGCTCCCCATCCCGCTCCTCCTGCACTAAGACAGAACACAGAAGGGAAACTTAGTAAAATGTTAACGGAACACCAACTGAAAGTGACGATGCTTACCAAGAGAGGGAGGGCTCGCCGCAAGGTACCTCCCCCGCCCGCTCCTGGTGCCTACGCTCCTCCTCATTCCGCTCCTGGATCGCAGAAGGCACGAAACTCGAAGTTAGAAATCTCGGAAAAGAAGAAATGAACCAAAGCGGACCGTGCTTACCAGGAAATCGAGAGCATTTCTTCTTCCTCCCGCTGTTGCCATGAGCTCCTCCACCTGCTCCTGTTTCACAAAGCCACGAAACTCGAAGTCAAAATCCCGAAAAAGAAGTAACGAACGAAATAGGGCTGTGCTTACCAGGAGAAGGAGAGCGTTCTCTTATTCTGTAGTTGCCACGTGCTCATCGCGCTCCTGGCATCCCTTCTGCATCAAGACAGAGATTACACAAGAGAAGATTAGTTATAAGAATACAAAACTATCTAAAATAGGCGACACTTACCAAGTGAAGGAGAGCTCTCCCGTGTGACACCCTTGCTCGCCGTCAGCTCCTTGCTTCGTATCCCGCTCCTTCTGCACTAAGACACAAAACACAACAAAGGTAATTAGTAAATCGTAAACGAAGTACAAGCTGAAATTGATGCTACTTACCAGGAGAGGGAGACCACTCCGTTGACCCCTTTGCTCGCCGCCAGCTTCCCGTCCAGCTCCTTCTGCACGAAGACAGAGATCACACAAGAGAGGATTAGTAAAAAGAAGACAAAAACTATCTAAAATAAACGATACTTACCAAGTGAGGGAGAGCTCTCCCCGTGTGACTCCCTTGCTCGTCTTCAGCTCCCAGCTTCTTATCCCGCTCCTTCTGCATTAAGACACAGAACACAACAGAGATAATTAGTGTATGGTACACGAAGTACAAGCTGAAATTGATGTTACGTACCAGGAGAGGGAGACCACTCCGTTAATCCATTTGCTCGCCGCCAGCTTCCCATTCAGCTCCTTCTGCATCAAGACAGAGATCACACAAAGAGACATTTAGTAAAAAGAATACGAAACTAACTGAAATAGACGACACTTACCAGTGACGTAGAGCTCTCCCCGTGTGACTCCCTTTCTCGCCGTCAGCTCCTAGCTTACTATCCCGCTCCTTCTGCACCAAGACACAGAACACAACAGAGATAATTAGTAAAATGAAAACGAAGTACAAGCTGAAATTGATGTTACTTACTAGGAGAGGGAGACCACTCAGTTAACGCCTTTGCTCGCCGCCAGCTTCCCGTCCAGCTCCTTCTGCACGAAGACAGAGATCACAAAAGAGAGGATTAGTAAACAGAATACGAAACTATCTAAAATAGACGATACTTACCAAGTGACGTAGAGCTCTCCCCGTGTGACTCCCTTTCTCGCCGTCAGCTCCCAGCTTCCTATCCCGCTCCATCTGCACTAAGACACAGAACACAACAGAGATAGTTAGTGAATGGTAAACGGAAGTACAAGCTGAAATTGATGTTACTTACCAGGAGAGGGAGACCACTCCGCGATGTTGCTCGCTGCCAACTTCCCATCCAGCTCCTTCTGCATCAAGAGAGAGATCACACAAGAGATAATTAGTAAAAGGAATACGAAACTATCTGAAATAGACGATACTTACCAAGTGAGGGAGAGCTCTCCCCATGTGACTTCCTTGCTCGCCGTCAGCTCCCAGCTTCCTATCCCGCTCCTTCTGCACTAAGACACAAAACAGAACAGAGATAATTAGTAAATATTTAACGAAGTACAAGCTGAAATTGATGTTACTCACCAGGAGAGGGAGACCACTCCGTTAATCCCTTTGCTCGCCGCCAGCTTCCCATCCAGCTCCTTCTGCAGTAAGACAGAGATCACACAAGAGAAAATCAGTAAGAAGAATACAGAAATATCGGAGATCGACGATACTTACCAGGAGAGGGAGACGGAGATGAAGGGCGCTGCGGCAACCGCTCCTCATACGCCGTGCGACGGATGCCAGGCGCGCGCGAAGGACGAAGCAGGCCAATGCGAGAAGCTCCCGGAACTTCGTGAAGAAAGGTCGCAGGAAGGAAGTAAATAAGTTAGAATATATCCAGGAGTAGATGAAAAATACGAAACTTATACGTACCTCCATTCAACCAAGAAGACCGGTCCTTAAGAGACGAATGCCGTACTGAATCGTCATGGCCGTGCGTCATGTTGGTGCCGTGCGCCGTGAGCCGTGCGTCCGGAGAAGCAGATCCATGCGACGAGAGAAGCGTCGTCCAACAGTAGAACCGCGCTGGCTTGAAGGCTCTGGGGCTTGAATGCGTCGAGCAGAGAAGCGCCAGGGCGGTTGCCTGCAGGATGAAAGTGAATACATTAGTTTATGCGGGAAAAAGCATTACTATTGCGAAAGACATGAGAATGGCGTTGCACTTACCTCCACTTGAAGGAGCTGATTAACCCATCCACCAGAAGTGAAGATCGTCTCCTCGCGGCGACGAAGAAGCGCCGGGCGAAGCAGACGACCGCGTCCGCGTCTGAATCACTCAAGCCAGAATCGTCGAATGCGGTCTTCCAGGCTCTTCACGTGAAGTTCGTCTTGAGAAGATCTCGCGGTGAAGATATTGCGGTGGTAAACTTCTCGCGGTGGAGTTCTCGCGATGGAGTTCTCGCGGTGGAGTTGTTGCAGTGGAGATCTTGTCAGGGAGTTTCTCGTGATGTAGTTCTTGCCGCGAAGAACAGGGCATAGTACAAGGTTCCGGCCAAGGCTTGCAAGCAGCTCACTAGACTCTCTACCCACCCACCCCACCCACGACTCTAGACTCTAAGCTACCTCTAACGCCTACACGAACCTACACGGACTCTAAGACGCGCTGCTGCTTACCTTGGCCATCCCCTTGTACTAGCTTGGGTGGAATCATGGCGTAGTTTAGACTGCTCCATGGAGCTTTTCGCATGAATTCCACAGGTAGCTCATTGGGACGGAGCTGACTGGGACGGAGCTCTCTGGGTCGGAGATTATTGAGACGGAGCTCTCTGGGTCGGAGATTATTGAGACGGAGCTCCTCTGAAAAATCCTTCCGACTGAATAACTGGGAAGGTTCTAATCCGACAATGAAGTTGAGGATAGGAACTTGTAGTGCCTCTGGTGGAAAGAAAGGAACAATCGAACAAGGTGGCTGGGAGGAGGAGACTGTCGATGAAAACGATCATCCGTGTCGGAAAATTCTGGGTGCGGTGCGGGCTGCGGAAGCGGCGCGGCGCGTCTGATTTTTTTTCGCGGCGCAGCTATGCTGGTTCGGGAAGTATGATATGAAATACGATGATTCCCGCTCTGACTCAAGTTGCCGTTGACCTTCGCTGCTGCTACAGCGCGGGAAGGGTGCGGCTAGTTTGCTGGTTACAGGAGGCGACTTCATGATGAACGGATGGTGGAGATGATAGCCACCACCGATGAAGGGTGAAGATTCGTCGCCATAACAAATGTGACATGATGTGATATCCGCCGCCACCATAGAAATTTCCCACCTTGGAAATGTCGGAAAACCTTTTCCATGGGTAATTCAAGGCGACTCGAATGTGTGTATGTACTTTGGTCGATGATAGCCGCTGTTAGTTGCTGAGTGCGGTGCGCTGCGATCAAACGCGGAAGCTCTGGACGGAAGGCGGATTCGCTGATGGACGGTGAAAATTGGTGGAGCCTTGTGTTGGAGGGTGCGGTGTGGTGGCTGGCGCCGCCAAAGAGAGTTTTCGCCTAGAAAATGTCAGAAAGTGTTCCCGATGGGCTCAAATCTGGAGGCGGCCCAAATCTGTTCATTCGAACTCATCCCAACGCGACCCGGCATCCTGAACCAATTTCAAATGTACAGTTCAGAGGGTGGTTGGTGAAGTTATGTGTTTTGACTTGAATATATCTATAAGCGGATCTGCTGAGGGCGCGTATCATTGTGTTGTGGGTTGACGGGCACCCTGATATCGGGTACAGTTGACTTGGATCTGGGGCAGGAAAGGGTTTTATTAGGAGGTGGTGTGACGTGGCACGCGTATTTTTACATCTATAGCCCGAGTCTGAGTATTCGCGAGAAAATTGTGCGTGAAGTGCGGGATTGCGTTGAAATTGTTACTAAATATGCGAACGGAAGGTTCAGGTGCACTCGCAGTTCATTTTGTCCCTTCCGAATATGATATGGGCAGCTGAAAATGACAAGTGGTGATTTAGAAAATATCATGCGAGCCAATAGAATTCGGGGGTGTTTCTCGCCCTCATCCGCCACCCGCCAGCTCATTCCCCGTCCAGCTCATCGCCGAGGCTGGGAAGGTCGATTACATTCTTGGATTTCATTTCGCCGATTAGCGCGAGTGCCTCGACTCTGCTTGCCGTGGACCTATCTCAGCCTTGCTATCGGTACTGTGTTTGCCGCTTCCAACTGCTAGTACCAGAAGCCGCTTCCCACGTCTAGAAGCTGAACGAGTTCTTGTGTCTGTTTCAAGCGAAATTAGCAGTCAGAAGTCGGAAGATCTAACGATTTCTAGGTTACGAACCGCGGACGTATTAATGATGACAAATTGCGAATGCTTATCATGCCATCGCTTGGTCGGCGTCGACTTGGGAGCGCGTCGGCATTGCGGGCTCTGTCGATCTCGTTAGGCAAGCGAAGCGCGGCGCTTTGATCTGAACCGTTGCTCAAGACATGTGAAACGGGGAGCGGAAACATGAGAGGGAGGGAGGCACGGATGAACTCGAGGTGGAAGGGAGGCAATAGACTGGCAAGAGGGAAGGATGAGGGAAGGCAAACGGGATATGAGGGGAGAGCGGGATCGTCTCACCCCAGCTCTTCTCCTGTTCACCTCTCATACCTCCTCCGATCCCTTCCTCCTCCCCCCTCCCCTTCTCGCTCGTCCTGCATCCCCACTCTCCCCTCATCTCCCCTCATCTCCCTGCGATTTCCACCTATCTCCTAGCCCTCACCCCTTCTTCCCCCTCAACCCTGTTTTCCCCCACCCAAGTACTGTTCACAGCTCATCCCCTCCCCCCACCATGCCTCCTCTCCCCTCTCACTCGCTCCGCATCCCTCCTCCCATCCACCCTCCGTCACCCCGCCCTCCCCTCGTCTTTCCCCTCAGTCACCCCTCGTTTCTCCCCATACATTCACCCCTTATGTTCCTCTCCCATACATCCCTAACCCCTTCACCCCACCCCCCTTCGATCTATCTGTCACTCCCCCTCCGCTCACCCCTCATCTACCCCTTTCCCCCCAGCCGCTCCTTGCCCTGTTCTCCCCATACATTCACCCCTTATGTTCCTCTCCCATACATCCCTAACGCCTTCACCCCACCCCTCGATCTATCTGTCTACCCCCCTCCGCTCACCCCTCATCCACCCCTCTCCCCCCAGCCCCTCCTTGCTATGTTCACGCCGCATTCACCCCTCAACCCCCACCCACGGGTCTCTCAACCCCCTCCCACGCGACTCTCCACCCCCTCCCACGTAACTGTCAACCCCCTCCCACGTAACTGTCAACCCCCAATTCTGCCCCAGACACCGTCAATTATCAATGTTATATTCTTCAGAAAAATTCTGTAACATTGTCATGTCATGTGTCATAACAAAAAGGATGAAAGTATATATCATTGTCTTCCCCCCTCTTCCCTCCCCCCCTCCTTAACACCCGCCCTTGGCTCCATCCCTTCCTCCCCTCACTCCTCCCCGCTCCTCTGTTGGATTGCTTGTCGCTGCAGCATGTGAACGAACCAACGGCTGCTCAGCTGCCTGGTCTGACTGACACATGGCTGGTCCTCATGTGGTTGCCTTGGCTGCATATGACTGGTTGGCCCTCACTCCTCCCTGCTCCTCTGTTGGGTTGCTTGTCGCTGCAGCATGTGAACCAACCAACGGCTGCTCAGCATGTGAGCCTGGTCTGACTTACACATGGCTGCAGATGATTGGTTGCCTTTGCAGTATATGACATTACTCCACACCTACCGGTACCTGTAGACTGTGACTGCATGCAACTGGTTGCCTTGCGGCCTGAGAAACGTCGTGCTAGACATGTGGCTGCCTGTGGTTGGCTGACATCAGGTGCAGCAAGCATGCAATAGCTGATTCCATTATAAATGTACAATTTCTTGCATCTATATGTTGCAGTTGAAGAGAATTTTGCTGACATCAATATCTGTATGAACTTTATAGAGCTAGCCTTTTGATTTTATTCAAGGGCAAAACCAAAAAAACATCCCCTGTCACTTGATGACAAAGCAGCAGTGCAGTGTTGTAACATGCAGTCTCCCCCCACCCTCAACAAATCACAGTTATATCACCCTTTGAGCAGCACTAGTATTTAGCAGTGTAGATACACCACATTGCGCCTGTTGGTCATTCAACAGTGAGCACATTGTTCTCGAGCATGCCGTGACCCACGGTGGGCCATTCTGTCGCCACTCTCCACTCGCCATCCACCAAAAACTTGATCTCGTACCTGCACGCACATGCACACATGCATGGATGGAGATGCACACATGCATGCATGGATGCAGATACACAGTAGGATGCACAGTAGGATGCACAGTAGGATGCACAGTAGGAAGCACAGTAGTATGCACAGTAGGATGCAAGCACAAAAGGATGGGGAAACAGGGATTAAGTTAGCATCATGCCATGGCCCACGGTGGGCCAGTCTGTCGCCACTCCACTCGCCGTCCACCAGGAACTCGATCTCGTACCTGCACACACACACACACACACACACACACACACACACACACACACACACACACACACACACACACACACACACACACACACACATGCATGCGTGCGTGCGCACATGCACACATCCACACGCAGATGCACAGTAGGGTGCAAGCACCAAAAGATGGGAGATCAGGGATTGGGATAGCATCACGCCATGACCCACAGTGGGCCACTCTGTTGCCACTTTCCACTCTCCGTCCACCAGGAACTTGATCTCGTACCTGCACACATGCATGCATGCATGGATGGAGATGCACACATGCGCACATGCACACGCAGATGCACATTAGGATGCAAGCAAAAAGATGGGAGATCAGGGATTAGGATAGCATCATGCCGTGGCCCACGGTGGGCCACTCAGTTGCCACTCTCCACTCGCCGTCCACCAGGAACTTGATCTCGTACCTGCATGCATGCATGCATGCATACGCACATGCAGAGATGCATGCATGGATGCAGATGCAGATGCACAGGGCACAGTAGGATTAAAGCACCAAAGGATGGGAGATCAGGGTTTAGGATAGCATCACGTCGTGGCCCACGGCGGGCCACTCTGTCGCCACTCTCCACTCTGACAGCTTGAGCACGGTGGTGTGCGGTGGTGAGCGGTGGTGAATGGTGGTGTGTGGTGGCTAGAGTTGCAGCTTGAGCATGGTGGAGAAGCGGGTCATGGTGCTGGTGGTCTCGGGGGACATCTGCTATTTATGAGACGCCTATCAAACATGCTGTCCATACCTGCCATGAACAGCAGCCTGAGAACGGTGGAGTGCGGTGGTGAGCAGTGGCAAATGGTGGTGAGCGGTGGCTAGAAGTGAGCTATCCTTACCTCCCAGGGCGCAGCTTGAGCACGGTGGAGAAGCGGGTCATGGTGCCGGTGGTCTCGGGGGACATCTGCTCGCCATACGTCCAGCCGTCAAACGACCCCATCACCTTCACGTCCTCCGCCATGCCAAACCACACCAGAGGCACCTCCCTCAGCCGCAGCTTCTCTATGCCCTCCAGCTGCTGCCTCAGATCGGAATAGAGCTCTGTGTTTTGGGGAGAGGGGGCGGAAAGGGAGAGGGATGGGGAAGGACGAAAGGAAGGGAATTGGAGCGAGGCAGAATGAGGGGATGTGTCTGAAAGGCGGAGCCGCACCAAAGGCACCTCCTCTCTCAGCAGCCATACGTCCAGCCGTCAAACGACCCCATCACCTTCACGTCCTCCGCCATGCCAAACCACACCATAGGGACCTCCCTCAGCCGCAGCTTCTCGATCCCCTCCAGCTGCTGCCGAAGGTCGGAATAGAGCTCTGTGTTGGAGGGGGGAAGAGAGCAGAAAGAGGGCAGAAAGAAGGTTTGGTAGTTGAGTTGACATGAGGAACCACACCAGAGGCACCTCCCGCAGGCGCAGCTTCTCGATTCCCTCCAGCAGCTGCAGAAGGTCCGAATAGAGCTCTGATGTGGGGGGGAGAGAGGGAGGGGAGGGGTTGTTGGCTTGAAGGATGGTTGAGAACAGAAGGGGTTTGATAAAGTGGAGGAAGCAGTGAGCATGCAATATAGGTGGTGAGTAGGTAGTGAGAAGGTGGTGAGTAGGTGGTGACTTACCAACGCCAGCTGTGCCAGCGGCAGAACGCTGAGATGCAAGGAGACAGCAAGATGATGCACCCTAACAAGTCGGGATTTACAGATAAAAGCATCCTCTACTCAAACTCTGACTTTAAACTCTGACTCTAAGGCCAATGGTAACCGTACCTTCCAGTCTATTGCTGAGGTGGGACGGCAAATATCGGCCGTTGATCTTCCTTGTGACTGGCAAGCCCTCGGTCTTCACGATCTCGTCCGCCACCTCGCTCAGCTCCTGGAGCAATGAGGGAGTGACACGTGGCAAGTGGAGAAGCGTTAGGGAGGACAGTGACCACGGCGTGCGCGGTCTAACGACTGCACATGGATGTAAGGCATGTAACCATGTAACCACACATGGATGTACGGCATGTAACCATGTAACCACACATGGATGTACGGCATGTGACCACACGTGGATGGACCTATATTTGAGTCGGCTCGCAAAAAAGCCACACGTGGATGGATGGGAGCCGTCAGTCCAACCAGAGCCATTTGCTTAAAACACAGTTGAGACCCACCAATCATGTGCCACCTCGTCTCAACAGGTTATCGCCCCGTCTCACTCAGCAATTCTCACATCTTGGCTGTTCATCCCATTTCGCATTCAAGTCAATTCGTCTCTTCCCAACCAACCACCATAACCCACAATGAAACCACTCTCATCCCATCCCATCTTAACCGTTCATCCCATTCCATCCCATCACGGCCGTTCATCGCATCTCACCCGCATTTCCGCCGCCAGTGCGATCAAGAGCGCTTTAGAGTCGCTAAGCGCCTGCTCGCGGTATTGCACCTGGCGTGGGGGGAGAGGGGAAGGCCGGGGGAAGCGGGAGGCAGGGGGGAGAAGCGGAACAGGAGGGTGAGGCGCAGTAGGGCGCAATCTGAGCCTCACGTGCGCACGTGAGTCGCTCAGCGCCTGCACGGGGTATTGCACCTGGCGTGGGGGGAGGGGGAAGAGGGGGGTGGCGCAGAGGGGCGGAAGAGATTGGAATCAGCGCAACTCAAACCTCGTGTGCGCACCTGAGTCGATCAGCGCCTGCTCGCGGTATTGCACCTGGCGTGGGGCGAGGGATCGGAAAGGGGGAAATGGGAAAGTAAAGGGGGAAAGGTGGGAAGGAGACGGGTGGAGAGGAAAATAATGTTGAGATGCAAGTGTCAAACTAATTATTAGGTTGGCCAACGAAGGTGAAGGGCGAGAACTCGAATCTCCCATTGACTAAGTTTAAAAAAAGATACTTTTAAGGGCAAAACGGTCAGGAAGACGCTGGTTTGCACATTTTCGAACGCGGAAAGGCAATCAGTGTTCGAAACACAGCACGTTCCACGCTCAGGCTAATCGCCACGACAACCTAAAATCTGACATCTAAAGCGTCCGTGCCGCCTCATAAGCCTGACTTGAATTTCGACAATTCGCGGGTTCACGTCGTGACTGCAGTACAATGATTCACTGATAATTTCCTGTTTGGCTTGGCCGACCCCAATCTCACTCTCACTCTCACTCTCACCTCTCAGCCCAGCTACCCTGTGCTTCGCGCGGCATGGAGCGGTTGTACGTAGCAGGGTAAGTTAAAGAATTCTCAAACGCACCCTGTACAAGTTCGACTCGCTGCGAAGAGCTTCTACTCACGCACCTCTCGCGAACAATCCAATTTTCTCCCTTTCCCCCTCCCATTTCCTTCCTTCTCCTTCCTCCGTACCTCGCGTTGCAGAAAGCGGTTGTGAGTGTTGGACTCGCTGAGCTTCTTGCTCAGCCCGCTCCTTGCCTCGCCCAAGCACGAGATCCCATCGACCCACCACTCGGAACCGGGCAAACACACCCTCAACGGTCAACCCCACTTCTGCACTCCCTACCGCTCCGTAACGCTCCGTACCTCGCGCTGCAGGAATCGGTTGTACGTGTTGGACTCGCTGAGCTTCTTGTTCAGCCGCGACCGCATCGCGATGACCTGGCGCGTCGCAGCAGGGAAGACAGAATAAAATTGGAAAAAAAAAGAAAAGAGGAAAAAAAGGTAAAACTTCTGAGACGCTCCGGAAACCGGACGCGAAGTCGAGTCGACGTGAGAAGCGGGATGCGACACGAAAGGGCAAACACACGGCTTTACAATTCATCGCGAAAGGAGTTGCGAAATTTTTAAGAAATGCGTCAACTGCTGCATACGTGGTAAGCAAAGGGGAAATTCCATGGCCAAAGCGTTCTCACCTCCGTACGGGGCACCACCGCTCTATCGACGGGAGTCGCCACGGACGGAGAGGAAAGCGCGTTGACTTTAAGTCGACTCAAATGTCAACCCGCTGTATACGTGGCAATTCAATGGTCGAGCTGTTCTCACCTCCGTACGGGGTACCACTGCTCTATCGACAGGTGTCGGCATCGCCGGGGAGGAAAGCGCCTTGGGTATCAATCCCTCAAGGTCGCTCTCCGCATCTTGCGCCGGCTGCGCCGGTGCCGCTGCCAGCCACGGCATCTGCCGCGCGACTGACGCCGGAAGACCCGGAATGCTTGGCTCATCAGGCTCCATGACGGCAGGTTTATTGGAGAGGTCGTTCTCAGGGTTGTTAGCGAAGTCGCTGTAGCGAGGCGGCTTGACGGAGGGCCGCGCGGTGTCCGCGCGGGGAGGTCTGGTGGTTTCGTTGGCGAGCTTCTTCACGAGATTCGAGAGGTCCTGCAGCTCGCCTGGTAACTTCGCGAACTCGCTGGACGAATACTGCGACTTTCGCGAGCCTTCGGAAATTGCCGAAACGACATGGCGACGGGATACTTGCGGCAGCTTCGTTGAGGGGAAAGAGTGTGTCGCGGTGCGCAGTGCGAGAGGTCGAGTTTCTTGTGGACTGAGGAGAAGGAGCGCCGACCGCGCTGGAGAACACCGTGTGAGAATATCCATGGCTGCCCACCGAGGTTCTTGTTTCACGAACAAGCGTTCTAACGGTGAAAGTTTCAACCTTTACTACTCAAGGGCTGAGATATGGGCGGTACACTGAATGAAATTTGTTCTCCGGCTAACAGCCTCTCAGGTTTACAGACTCTTCCGCAGGCAAGGAAGCGAGGAACGGAATTGTCAGTGGAAGAGTAGCCGCCAAAGTCGAGCAATTTCACCCAACGATTTTGCTGTATTTAGCAGAACATGGATTCCAGGTGGCCACTAGCTGGACATGTATCCTGTGCTAGTGTCTGGCTGGAGGAATGGTGGTTGTGGTTTTGGGGGATGCAAAGGAAAGTGGCGGCTTTCTTGTGGGAGGCATGGAGAATCTGGATTGAACGGTTGAGGCGAGAGTCTGGCGACAGGTAACAGTTAAGCGAACTAAGGCGAGGGTGTTAACACTGCGCGAATATTCGAGAAAGGGATGAAATCGAGGGGAAGAGGCCTCCTCATGCACCTGGAGGGCAAGTGAACCAGAATGTGGGGACCACAAATGTGCCACGTGTAATTCAACAATGCTCGTCCAGGGCCCTGATCGGTAGCACCCCCTAAGCGGAGTGGGTGAGCTTCGAGGGAGCTCACTCACTCCCGCTTGCACGTGTGACGGAAGTTTACTCATCCCACGTGGCTTACTCCGAGTAGCTCAGAATGGTCAAACGATCGCTCGGAGTACGACTCGAAGTGGCCTTACAGGAAGGTTCCTTCACCGGCAATCTGAGTTCCGCGGAGTAACTCCACTTACTCTTGCCCTGATGGTAGATTAAGCCTTGCTACTCGGAGTAGGGCCTCGAAGGGTAAACCCGATGAAACCGCATAATTCGTTTTTATTTTTCAGGGAAGCCCACCTCAAACACTTTCAAAACTTCCCATTCCCCACATTCCCAGGTCGTGTCCGTAGGGATGACATGTCAAGCATTTGAGTGTCAACTTGTGATTTTGACACTTGCCAACATTGTTGGCAGAGTGTCAACGACACCAAACTGCCAGCCAGTAAAATTCGTCGGACTTCCAGCTCTGCGAAAATAAAGAAACTATCCAACCAACCACATTGATGGCGTCGAGATTACAGACGACCACACCTGCCTAATCGACGGATGCTGAACTTCGTGCGACTGCAAGTTCGTGCAAGGGGTCGCCTGTGTACTCAAACTTGTGCCCAACCAATAAGCTTCCGTCGCAGGATTCCCTGCTGCGCTTCGATTTGACACCAAGCCTCAAAGCTTGACACTCTATTTTTGCGCGCTTCGGGTTGACACTGCCAATGTTGACATGTCATCCCTGCGTGCGGACACGAACCCAGTGGTTCTTGATGTTGTCTTTTTGTAGCCCAGTTACCCTTGGTGAGATTAATTTTTCTTGTTGACAAACGGGGCAGTCTGGGCAGAACGCAACAGTTGTTTTAACGAAATTGCGTTCACGACCCTCGCAACTTCCCTAAGCGGAGTGACGAGGGCGTGCCGATCACCCCTCGGAGTAGGGAAACCCACAGGAGCAGAGGGGAAGCATCTGCACACACGTGCCCACACGTGTGTGCCAACGCGAACGGAGACTACTCCGCTTAAGGGCTACCGATCAGGGCCCAGATTCGTTTTGAAATCTCCATCTCCATGGATTTTGGAAGCATGTGAAGTGTCACGTCAAATTCCAGGCTTGGCTCGCAGTGCAGTTTCTGCGGAGAAACTAATGGCTCAGAAAGGCGTGCCGTGCAGCCAACATACACGTATTCATGACTGGGTCAAGCGACCAGCCAACTCCCCCAACAACCGCGCCACCACTATGCTCAGGTTACCGCATAAGCTTATAACAAAACTTCTTGAGACAGTACACCGTGACAGCTAAATCGTATTCGTTCATAGATGTTTTCTACCCAATACTTATTTCGAAACACATGTGGAGGCTTCACAGATACGCACCAGAAACAGACCATCCACCTTGAATTCGTAGAACCATAGCGACGCGGAGTAGTCGCTTAGAATCTGTTCGGCTCGGACGTGATAAACGGTCAGCATACCGCAGGAACTTCGATGGAGGACGCGAAATACACCGCGATTCCGCTCTCGTGTAAGCTGATATGGCATGCTAATAGAAGTTAGGATCTTCGTCTTGGTGCGGAGACCGCGTTTGGAGGTACAGTAAGGGCGGGCGTCGCATCTTCCTGGCGCATTACGCGGCGCATATCGCGGCTCATTCTGCTTCTTGCGAGTCTCAGCTCAGTCGATCCCTCGGTTCTCACTTCTTGCGAGTCTTTCCACCTCCCCCATCCTCCCACCACTCGAACCCAAGGGCGCGAAAGTTCCGGAGAGCTTCGCGTGCACGAATCCGCTGACGACATCTCGCGAGGTCTGGCTGACGTCATCGTGAGAGCTTCCGAGGTGAGGCCGTGACGAGACGCATGCCCACCCTCGTGCGTGTAACGTTTGAGATTTCGCGGATTCCCACGTTGTCTTCACTGCCCGCTTCTCCCACACCTTTCGCTCTAATCACATCTCATTATTCTCACTCCCCATCCACCCCTCCATCCACCCTCCGGTCCATCCTCCCACCCATCCATCCGCCCATCCAGGCGGCCATAGCCTCACATGGCGCTTTCACCATCGCCATTTCAGGGGGATCCGTCGTCAAATGCCTGGGGTAAGAATACCCACCGTCTATCACCGCATCCAACACCCATACATCCATCCGCCCATCCAGGCAGCCATAGCCTCACATGGCGCTTTCACCATCGCCATTTCAGGGGGGTCCGTCGTTAAATGCCTGGGGTAAGAATACCCACCGTCTATCACCGCATCCAACACCCATACACCCATCCGCCCATCCAGGCAGCCATAGCCGCGCATGGCGCTTTCAGCATCGCCATTTCAGGGGGGTCCGTTGTTAAATGCCTGGGGTAAGAATACCCGCGTGGCATTCCCACGTTGTCGTTGGCTGTCGCGATGCAACTCGCCGAAGTGCTCTGCTGTATCGTGCCTCTCGTCCCCCTCACTTCTCATGCACTGAATTCCCCTCAGGGAGCTTTTAAAACAGCATCAAATCTCGCGGTCCTTTCTGCGCTCCCCCCACCCCTTTTACTCCCCTTCTTCCTCTCTTCCCCCCCGCCCGCTCTCTCCTCCACTCCAGCCAGCTGGCGCATCCAGATGTCGCGGCGCGCTGTGATTGGTCCAGGTGGCACGTGTTCTGGGTGGACGAGCGGGCCGTGCCTCTGACGCACCCTGACAGCAACTACCTGCTCGCGCACACGCACTGGCTCTCCAAGGTGCTTCCTTACCCCATCAGTGTATGACCTAGCACGTTTGTTACCCTTCAATCCAACCCAAACAGCTTGCCTCTGACTGACACACCCCGACGGCAACTACCTGCTCGCGCACACGCACTGGCTCTCCAAGGTGCTTTTCTTCCTCCCATGAGTGTGTGGGTTACAACGTGTGTTGTGTGAGGCTCTGATTCACCTCACAACATCCCCCAGACTGACGCACCCTGACAGCAACTACCAGTTGGCACAAACGCACTGGTTCTCCAAGGTGCTTCCTTTCCCCACAGTGTGCCTCTAACTCGACCAACCAACGTGCCTCTGACCCACCCCGACAGCAACTACCTGCTGGTGCACACGCACTGGCTCTCCAAGGAGCGCCTCTTCCCTGCAGCATTGTGTGAGCTAGACGCCTCTAACTCAACTAACAAGCATGCCGCTGACGCACCCCAACAGCAAATACCTGCTAGCCCACACGCACTGGCTCTCCAAGGTGCCTCCATTCCCCCCATCAGTGTACGACCGAGAACGTATATTACCCTTCAATCCATTCGAACTAAACAGCATGCCTCTGACACACCCCAGCAGCAATACTTGCTAGCACACACGCACTGGCTCTCCGAGGTGGTGCTCCCCTTCCTCCCACGACTGTGTGAGCTAGATCGTTCATTAGCCTCTGGCTCACCCCAACAACATCCCTCCCACTGACGCACTCCGACAGCAACTACCTGCTATCTAGGGCACATAAAGTGGCTCTTTAAGGTGCTTGGTTTCCAAGATTTCCCTAGCTTCTGAGCTGCCAACCTTTTCCCCAGCGCACTCTCACAGGTCATCCCTTTCCTTTGTACCCGTTTCTTCTCTGACGGAATAAACCGGACCTTTAATCTCCCCCTTTTCCATGCTCAGGCTGCAGTAAAAAAAGCCGTGCCATGCCATCCCATGCCGTACTATACCATGCCATGCAATGCCATGCTCACACACTTGCCCCATGCCTTGTGCCCTTATTGTCTTCTCCCCAGGTGGCCATCCCACCCGCCCACATCCACACTCTCGACGACTCTCTCCCAGTTGAAGCAGCAGCAGAGGCATATGAGGGAGATGAGGCTAAGCTCTTACACTTTTTGAGGCGCCTCAATAGCCCCCATGCGTTGTCACCTTCCTCCCCAATTTTCACCCCCAGGTGCCCATCCCACCCGCCCACATACACACTCTAGACGACTCACTCCCAGTGGAAGCAGCAGCAGAGGCGTATGAGCGCGAGATGAAGGAGTGTGTGGAGGCTGGGGCTCTGCTGATGCACCCAGGTAGGCTTGCTCGACCTGCTAGCCCTGCTAGGCTTGCTAGAAGTCTGTCTGCTAGGCATGCTGTTTCTGTCATTTCCAGTCTAAGAAGCAGCAGCAGAGGTGTATGAGCGCGAGATGAAGTGGTGTGTGGAGGAAGCTGGGGTTCTGCTCTCGTCCCAGGTAGGCCTCTTATGCCGGTACGTCCCGCCGGACTGTTATGCCTCCTGGATCAGCTATACATAGCTAGATCTGCTATGGCTGCAGGGATGCTCTTGCTGTCTCCTTCAAGACTTCATGTCTTGAAGAAATGAGAGAGACCAGATACCTTCACGGCATCCCTCTTCCCCGGTTGTTCAACCAACACCACCTTTCTTCTCCGCCCTTTGCTTGTGCAGATACACCCTTCCTCAGATTCGAATCCATCCTTCTGGGGTTAGGACCAGACGGTCACGTGACCTCTCTCTTCCCCATTTTTTCAAGTTTCAACCAACACCACCTTGCCTCTGTCTGCCCCTTTTGTCCTGTTGTGCAGATACGGCCTTCCCCAGATTCGACTTCATCCTTCTGGGGGTCGGGCCAGACGGTCACGTTGCCTCCCTCTTCCCCTCCCACCCCCTCCTCTCCACCACCTCCCCCTCCTCCCCTTCCTCCACCTCCTCCCCTTCCTCCCCCTCCGCCCCTTCCCCCTACTGGTGCCGCCATCTCTGTGACTCCCCCAAGCCCCCCCCTTGCCGAATCACCCTGACTCTCCCCGTGCTGCTCTCTGCTGCTGTGGTGGCGGTGGTGGCGATGGGGGAGGGGAAGAGGGAGCTGTTGGGGAGGCTGTTTGAAGCAGGGGGGGCGGGGTTTGCTGTGGGAACAGGGTTGCCTGCTAGTATGGTTTTGCCACGAGATGGGTGGTTGATTTGGATGGTTGACAATGAGGCTGCTGCTGGGTTCTTACAATCTTCTTGATGCGTGCTGTCTTCCGCTTTATGGAAATCACTTTTGAGAACTCTCAAAAGTCTTTTCCATATAGAGAATTCTCAGAAGTGATTTCCAGTGAGGCTCCTGCGTACGGTGGTCCTCACCCTTATTCTCTCCGTGTTGCTGTGTGTGCCATTGTAATGAGGTGATTTCTAAGTGAACTCAAAAGTCACCTTAATGCGTGTTCCTTCCGGTGGTTATCACCCTGATTCTCCCTGTGCTGCTCTGAGCTGCGGTGGTGGAGGCGGTGGCAACGGGGGAGGGGAAGCGGGAGCTGCTGGGGAGGCTGTTTGAGGCATTGGGCAAGGGGTTTGCTGGGGGAACTGGGTTGCTTGCCTGCATGGTTTTGCCAAGAGATGGGAGATTTGTCTGGATGGTTGATACGGGAGGCAGCTGCTGGGTTACTCTCTCGTGGTTGATTGGCATACAGAGTCCGAAGAAGGGGGGGGGGCGGGGTTTGCTGCAGGAACTGAATTGTTTGCCAGTATTGTAGTAACAGATGTAAAATAAAATCTTATTGTTGATCAGCAAGGCTGCACTAGTTGAGGAAGGCCCTCGCTATCAGACAAAATTAGACCGATGCTATGAAAATGATAAACATGTTTATGGCAATGTTCGATATAGTCGCATTTAATCTCGAACTAGCTCCGACTTAAGTCTCTTCAATTTTCTAGTAAAAGGTCTTGGCAAATTCACTTTTATTCTCAAGCCCGCAAGCCCTCCAGCCCGCCAGCCCGCAAATTGTCACTTGGACCTGTCAGAATCCCAGTCACTAACCACTGGGATAAAAGGGCTTGTTTGTGTAGCGGGTGAGTGCGCCCATAACCCCCCAGGCCAACGTGCCTGTAACCCTTCCCTATGATCAATCGGGGATCTCCAGTGGACCTCTGACACCCAACCGCACTGGGATGCCCGAAGTGCACACACCGGGAATCGAACCCGAGACCTTCGCTCTGATACCATGTCAGAATCCCAGCCACTAACCACTGGGATAAAAGGGCTTGTTTGTATGGCGGGTGAGTGCGCCCATAACCCCCCAGGCCAACGTGCCTGTAACCCTTCCCTAGGATCAATCGGAGATCTCCAGTGGACCTCTGAAAGGACCAAGTCCAGAACCTCTCGCCACTTTGACCAGGCAAAAAGTACAAACTTAATATGAGGTGGCCTGATACGAGGCCGTAGGAATACGCTCCAAGTCCTCATTTGGACGAAGTCCTCGCTTGGTCAACGGTGAACTTTTCGTCGACGACGTTTTTTGTGAAGCCGACTTTCCTGTCCAGGAGCCGACCTCGTGATCGGATGTGCGTGAGGTGCAGCCGACCTACATCAGTAGGCGAGCTAGTCGACGGGGCTGGTCGACCTGCACGAGGTTTACTGCAATAGCGCCGACTTTGGGAGGGCGCCGACATAGGGAGGTCGACCTGTGGTGGGCGTCGACTTGGTGATACCAACTTGGAGAAGCCGACTTGGGCTGACAGGTGTGCTGTTCGACCTGGAGTTGGCCGACTAGTATGGTCGACCTGCAGCCCGTCGACGAGGTGCGTGGTTGACTTGGCGTGGTCGATCAGTGGTGGTCATTGACATGGGTGGTCGACGGGCACAAGGAGGAGCTGATCGATGTGGTGGTTTCCCTGTCGACCAGGTTACACAGGTGACAAATTTCTGCGGAGGCACGCGATGGTCGCCCAGGTGTTCGTGGCGAGGCCGACCTCGGTGTGATATTCCGAGGTCGACGTGGCTGATCAGGTGCAGCTGTCAGCATAAGGACGATCTGGTGTGTGCGCTGTGCAGGTCACAAGACCAGTCCAGCAAAGCAAAACAAAGCCCAGGGTGGATCACAACGTCACCACACTCCGAGCACAAGTAAAGGCCACAAGGCCAGTTCACATGCAGTGCTAGATATAGTACAAGACAAGCAACACAGTGATCAAAACCTAGCAAGCAAGCAACAAGATATATATAAAGTACAGTACAAAGAATGTCAAGCAGTGAGCAAGTGAGGAAACGTGGACACAAGGCCTAAAGAAGTACAGTGCCGCTGATGATCACTAGGCGGGAGCGCCTTGGTGAAGATATCAGCAGTGTTGGCCTTCGAGTCCACGTACACAAGTCGAAGCTGACCGCGCTGCTGAAGCTCTCGAGCAAGAAAGTAGCGAAGAGCAATGTGCTTCGTCCTGTGCTCCAGTCTGTGCTCCTGACACAAGGCAAGAGCCGCCTTGTTGTCACCGTACAGAACTGGAGGAGAACTAGGCCGCTCTCCCAAGTCAGTCAGCAGGTAGGTGAGCCAGCGTAACTCCTGTGCAGCCATGGCTGTGGCGTAGATCTCAGCCTCACAACTAGAGCCGAGAACAGAGGAAGAGCGGGTGGACCGCCACGAGACAGAACCTGAGCCAAGGCTGAAGGTGTAACCCTGTGACGACCGCTGCGTAGCCAGGTCGTCCACCCAAGAGGCGTCCGAGTGACCAGTGAGGACAACTCTGTCGCGTCCTCCAAGCACCAGCCCCATGCCTGATGTACTGCACAGGTAACGCAGCACCCTCTTAGCAGCCTCCCAGTGCTCTCGCCTGTGTCTCCCAGGCGCAACGTAACGAGCAAGGATGCTAAGAGGGTACGCGAGGTCAGGTCGCGTGCAAGTCATCAAGTACATGAGGCAGCCTACAAGCTCTGGGTACGGGCCACTCGGCTCTACGGACTCGTCCGAAGGTGGAGCTGAGAGCGAGTGGCTGGTAGCCAGAGGTGTGGCCTGTGGTGAGGAGAACTGGAAGCCGAAGCGCTGAAGGACCTGCTGCACCATGTGTGACTGAGTCAGGGTGATGGTGCGGCGAGCTCTGTCCCGGGTGATCTGCAAGCCAAGGTAGCTACGCAGTTCACCCAGGTCAGTGCAGGTGTGTCTCTTCTGCAGCTCCGACTTCACACGAGCGAGTGCCTCAGTGTCAGCAGTAGCAAAGACCAAGTCGTCGACGTACACGAGAATGTAGAACGGCGGCAGCGACGTGTCTGTGCGCAGAAACAGCGACGGGTCAGCAGTAGACGGCGCGAACCCAAGAGCCGCAAGAGTAGTCCTCAGTGTGTCGTGCCACTCACGTGGCGCCTGGCGGAGACCGTAGACTGGCCGGCGGAGACTCCACTGGGTACCAGGGGGAAACGACCCAGTAAAGCCAGGTGGGCGGCGCAGCCAGATCTCCTCGTGCAGGCTGCCCTGCAGGAACGCTGTGCTGAAGTCAAGAGAGTGAAGCTCGTAGTCACGCTGAGCAGCAACGTGCAGCAGAACCCGAAGAGTGGTCATCTTCGGGGTGGGGGAGAAGGTCTGGAAGAAGTCGACCCCCTGACGCTGACTGAAGCCTCTAGCAACGTAACGAGCCTTGAAGACAGGCGGAGAACCTGGCGGCCGCTTCACCCTGAAAATCCACATGCCATCGACGATGTTCGCCCCAGGAGGGGGAACCTCGTCGACGTAGGTGCCTGTGGACTTCCAGGATGCCATCTCTGCGTCCATGGCTGTCTGCCACTGAGAGGAGTAGGGACCCGAGATCGCCTCTGCGTAAGTGCGCGGAGTGGGGATGTCTAGTGCATCCGGGTCTCCCTCAGGGGCAAGCAACCAGGCCACGAGATGAGGTACAGCAGCCGCAAGAGAGTCAAAGTCCTCCTGCCTGTCCTCAAGGACGTCCGTGCCAAGAGCACACTCACCCCCGACGGACGGAGGACAGACAGACGCAGACTCTGACTCAGCAACAAGGCTAGCAGCGTAGTCTAGACGACAGGCAGCAGCAAAGTCAACCAACTCAGCGACCAGAGCAGACGCAGCCGAGGACTCAAAGGTAGGGTCAGTGACAACAGTAGCGAGGAGACGCGTGACTGTAGGGTGCTCAGCGCGATACCGGTCAGACTCAGGGTCCGGAACGTCAGGCAAAGAGGACGCAGGAGGAGACGGTAGAGGGACACGCCGAGGAGCAGTAGAGGGACGCAGAGTCATGTAGTGAGTGCCTGGGACAGGAGGAGGACGCTCACGACGGACACGACTAGCAGTGCGAGCAGGACGAACAGGCGACGCAGGACGAGACTCAGGCTCACGACGCTCTGTAAGACCTCCTGTGGGACCAGTATAAGGAGAGGGAGCAGGGAGAGGCGAGGCAGGCGGTAACTGTGACTGCGGCTGGACAGGCGGAGGACACTCTACGGAGGGAGGAGGACAAGGAGGAGGAGCCTGCCCAAGAACCTGCTGAAGGAGCGGTACGAAGTACGGTCGCGGCCGCGCAGCGTCTCCAGAAGCAGAAGGGACTCCAGCGGCCGGGTCCTCAGCACCAGTAGGAGCTCCAGCGTCCGGGTCCACAGCACCAGCAGCAGCTCCACCGGCCGGGTCCCCAGCTCCAGCAGCAGCTCCACCGTCCGACTCCTCAGCACCAGCAGCAGCTCCACCAGGTGGGTCCGCAGCACCAGCAGCAGCGCCACCCCCAGAGTCGGCAGCTCCAACTCCGCTAGCACCGCCAGCGCCAGAGTCCCCAGCTCCAGCAGCTCCAGTCGCAGTGCTCCCAGAACAGCCAGTCCCGGCAGCTCCAGTACCCCCAGTACGAGCACCCCCAGGACGAGCAGCTCCAGCACCCCCAACTCCAGCCGAGCCACTAGGACGGCGAAAGCGTCGGACGTACCAGTCACGAAGCTGCTGCGGTGTGAGAGACTGCTCAGCACCCCGAACCGGAGCACCCCCAGACGCAGTAACCCGAGGCTCCGTAGGCTCAGTAGCAGCACCCCCAGGCTCAGTACCCGCAGGCTCAGTACCCGCAGGCTCAGCACCCCCAGTCGCAGCACCCCCAGGCTCAGCACCCCCAGGCGGCAAACTCTCAGGCACAGTACCCTCAGCTCCAGCACCTGCAGTCCCAGCACCTGCAGCCCCAGCACCCCCAGGCCCAGCACCCCCAGGCTCAGCACCCCCAGGCTCAGCACCCCCAGGCTCAGCACTCCCAGCAGCACCACCCGCAGCAGCACCTGAG